ATTAAAGTTTAAAAAAGTTGGCGCACTGTCTAAATTCAGCAGTTCAACAGTTTAATGTCGTGATTATTTTCGTATATATACACAAAAATACGATCTGTAGCCAGGATTTTTTTTTGCATTTACGCGTCATCGCGCAATAAAACACTTACTTTATTAAGAAAATAAAATGTTAACTAATCAATAAAAATAGATCTCAATCGAGGCTGGTGTATTTTTGGCGCATTTGTTAAAGGAACGCTCCGAAAATCCGGAAAGGGTTGTTGATTGTTATTTGATTCGAAATCTTTAATTAATAATCAGCATGTAACTGAAAATATTATAGTATCTCAAAAAACAACACAAAAGATTTTGTACAACACAATTCTTTATATTTCATTTTCTATAAGTATAATCTTGGAAAGTCACACAAACATGATTTTACATTTAAAACAGGTGGATATCTTGGAAAAGGAAATATGTAACCTTTATATCGATCTACCCTCACACGCTTTTGTGTAGCTACTAATATTTGCATGCCCTCAGTTTACAGTGTGTCAACTTTTTTATTCGAAAATTCTCCCCATCTCTTTTTGCTCATTGATATAGATTAGATTAGCGTATAAATTCATCTAATATATACTTACATACATACATATCTAGTGCCAAAACCCTTCGAGAGTAATTGCTGTAACTGATATAAAATAATTAATCGAATTAAAAGCGAAATAGTTTCATTTTTGAGATATTTGCCGTTTTATGGTAACAGCCTATACCGTAAGTGAATAAAATTAGCGTAATAAAGAAAACGAAGATATCTCGATATGTTGCAATAACAAGGATCCGCCAACGAGTCGTCCGTGCGCAATACTTGCCCCCCCAGTCGTACGGTCATTGCGCAAACGAAAACCCAAGCTGTCGCGTATAATTTAATTATTTTATGACATAAACGCGCTGAGCTGTGTTTAGGTTTATGTGAATTGCAATTGCGAAGTCCTTTTTCTTGATCATTATTAGTTATGATAATAAATTTGATTGATCTACGAATGTGTTGGCTTATGAATGTATTTTTACTAGGTTGACCGCACGAACTCATTGTATGTATGGCGTATTACCGATAGACATCACAACGTTTATGCCGCCACCACCCTTCAGACTTCAAATCTTAATTGTATAAAACTTATCCCACTCTCAAAACCGGAAAGCATTACTACTTTGCTGTAGAAAACCCTTGTTTTTTTTATTTATTTATTGCTTAGATGGGTGGACGAGCTCACAGCCCACCTGGTGTTAAGTGGTTACTGGAGCCCATAGACATCCACAACGTAAATGCGCCACCCACCCTGAGATATAAGTTCGAAGATCTCAAGTATAGTTACAACGGCTGCCCCACCCTTCAAACCGAAACGCATTACTGCTTCACGGTAGAAATAGGCAGGGCGGTGGTACCCACCCGCGCGGACTCGCAAGAGGTCCTACCACCAGTAATAACCTAGCATGATACATCCTAACATCAGCAAATCTAAGTCTGTACCTGTTTATTTTTTAGCTGAGCGTATTGTTAGCATTTATTTGTTTTGCTCATATACATTATATGTGTTCGCTGCGCTATGCCCTGCTTAGTATATATGCTATGTTAATATTAAAGCTATAGTTATAAAAGTTGTTTTTATGCATAAATCACATTATATCTTAATAATGAGGGATGTGAAGCCACTGAGCGATAAGCGAACTGATGATCACGAGCTAAAAGAATAGGAAAAGTTCTCGTGTTTAATAAAATTGTATTTTTTTTTCTTCTTCTCAGTCGTGTCACTCTTGACAGAGTGGTCGTGATGTTGTATTATTATTAATTCTACCGTAAGACGTAGCTTGGGTAGGCCACGAGGTGGACCGACGACTTGTTAAGGGTCGCAGTAATTCACTGGATGTAGATAGAGCAGGTCCGATCGTTGTGGCGAGACTAAAGGAGGCCCACATCCAGTAGTGACTGTCTGCAGACTGATAGATATAAACAGATATTATTCTTTCACTAGCCGTACTCGTCCGCTTCGCTGGGAATTTAAAATTTTAGTGAGTCTAACACTCATATAAATATTAGCCTATCCATGTATTTTCTACATATGGATACCAAGTTTCAAGTCAATCGGATGCATGGTTAAGTAGTCATAACGGAACATCCGTAAAAACCACTGTAGATTTATATATTAGTTTATTAGTAAGATTATTAAATTCGTTGGCAAAAACACTCCTTCAGTACAGATTTACTAGGAAAAAGGGACTTCCCACTTTAATACTCCAGACGTCTCACGGCTGGATCGCTGACTGATTAATTAGCCCAAGAATGTCTTACTGAAGCTTTCGTTTCAATACCGCTGTTGTTCTTTTATATTTTATGGCCCTAAGTTACGAAACTTGTCATGAATATATTTTGTGATATGAATTTTAGATTCTCAACAGAATAGATTAAGGTGACATGGAAAATTTTCTAGCTTTGCTTTGCTCATTTTAAATTAAACATGTGTCTTATCTTTTGTATTATCGTGTTTTACAGCTTAGAAAAATAATAATCATAAAAGAATACATTTGTAAACAGAATCATTTGTTTCCTGTCTTATTTACTGATGATTTTTTTCTGCTTGTACATTAACGTAGTCAGTGCTATAATTGCCGATAAATCTCGGACTCTAAGCTGTCTTGCAATCCAGGCAGAAAAGGTGAAATTGAACTCAAACCGACCTAACATTTATGAAAACATATTTAATCGATGTACGCCATCGGTACAATGTTTATTGAAAGCATGTTGTCCATTTTACTACAAACAGCAAACTCGATTCTCGTGATTTTACTCTTAAAACTTTTCAATGAACCATGAAATTCGATTCATTTTAGTTATAAGCCTAAAACGATAAACCGAAGCGGATGTCAAATGCTGACTATCTGCAAACTTCCTGATCCACTGTACTTAGTCTGGCCATAAATACTGTTACAATTAAAAATGAACAAAATATTACATTTGAATTTGGAATCTGTCATTTTTATGTGATTACTCATTGAGTTTTCTCATTTTGGCGCCAATACATTGTACAATAGTTTGCGATATTAAAATGGAGTGAGGTGATAAAGAGAACCGAATCGCTGTGATTGCAAAGTAGGTATGGAGTAATTTTTAAAACTCTCCATACGCTTGGTATTAGTAAAATGTTTGTGTACCGGGATATTAATAGGTGCAATGAGACCTCCTCTGTTTGTGACAGAAAAATATCTGGCCGTCCACGTAGTGTTCGTACGAAAAAGGTGGTCAAAGCAGTAAGGGAAAGAATTCGAAGAAATCCTGTCTGAAAGCAAAAGATTTTATCTCGTGACATGAAGATAGCATCTAAAACCATGTCGCGTATTTTAACAGATGACTTAGGACTTGCAGGACGTACTGGTAATTTCTTAACTGATAATTTAAAAGAGGATAGGGTGGTAAAATCGAAACAACTACTGAAGCGGTACGCAAAGGTAGATCATAGAAAAAATTTGTTTACTGATGAGAAATTTTTTATAATTGAACAACATTTTACAAACAAAATGACCGTATTTATGCTCAAAGCTCTAAGGATGCTTACCAATTAGTCGACAGAGTGCAACGTGGGCACTATCCGACTTCAGTGATGGTTTGTTGGGGTATTAGCTGTGAAGGAGTGACTGAGCCATACTTTTGTGAAAAAGGTATCAAAACATCGGCACAAGTATATCAAGATACCATTCTTGAGAAGTAGTACAGCCCTTAACAACACCATGTTCAATAATCAAGAATGGTTCTTCCAGCAAGACTCGGCGCCAGGTCATAAAGCTCGGTCTACGCAGTCTTGGTTGGAAACGAACGTTTCGGACTTCATCAGAGCTGAAGACTGGTCGTCGTCTAGTCCCGATCTTAATCCGCTGGATTATGATTGATGGTCAGTTTTAGAGAGTACGGCTTGCTCTAAACGCCATGATAATTTGGAGTCCCTAAAACAATCCGTACGATTGGCAGTGAAAATTTTTCCCATGGAAAGAGTGCGTGGTTCTATTGATAACTGGCCTCAACGTTTAAAGGACTGTATTGCAGCCAATGGAGACCACTTCGAATAAACTTTTTATACTTTAAATTGTTTTATATTTATGTATTAAACTAACACACTGTAAAAGTAATAAATGTTATTTGCTATAGATTTTTTTTTGTTTTCCTTTGTAACAGTATTTATGGCCAGACTAAGTATATCATTCATTACCTTGTAGATCTGTAATCGGTAATTCGCGGCTCTTCGACTCCACGGCTACGGCTCTTCAGAGAAATGTTTACTTCAGGCACGAAATATACTTATTATCTTGCCTTGTAAGAGACGAGTAAACATTTTTGATACACAATGCTATAAAAAATATATATTAATAAATTAAAATGAATTCCATTGTGTGTTATCTATATTTGTCTCTTGTGGTTGACATGATTGCTGACCACTCATGTAATGTTGTTTTATGATTATTTTTTTCGAAGTGTTGATATTCAATTGAATTTTATACAAATAGAAATTTGTGTAAGATTCAATTGCTCAAGTATCCATGATTCAAGGTCAAGCATGAAATGCTTCTTTTCGTATTAACAATTGATATCTTCTTCTTTAAACTCTGCCCTGATTACATATCGTATATCCGTGACGGTTTCTGTTTTGGTCTTACTGGGGTTAGGATCTCTTGAGAGTCCGCGCGGGTAGGTACCACCTCCCCATCTATTTCTGCCGTGAAGCAGTAATGCGTTTCGGTGTGAAGGGTGGGGCAGCTGTTGTAACTATACTTGAGACCTTAGAACTTATATCTCAAGGTGGGTGGCGCATTTACGTCGTAGATGTCTATGGGCTCCAGTAACCACTTAACACCAGGTGGGCTGTGAGCTCGTCCACCCACCTAAGAAATAAAAAAAAAAAAAATGTAATGTGAATGACAGTATTTTTACCAATTTAACTCATATTAAATTAGGATTTTGCATTCTGTTCCAGCTCTTCGGGCGGACGGCAACGTATCCGTGACTCAGATTCCACTTCTGGGCGTGAACGGCTCCGGCATCCTCAAGGTCACCCCGACCGAGAACACGCACAAAGTCAGCGAACCTATCGACCCTGACCCTGATTACGGTAAGTCAAGAGATTGACCCCTCATCGGCAGCCTGACTCAGTACCAAATACACCTCTATGTAAAAGCGTCAGATGCAGTATCAACTCTGCTTCATAACAATTTATATAGTACAGGTAACCTTCCTATAACGCGGTTGATACGTTTCTGCAAAGTCCCGTGTTGTGCGAAACCGTGTTATATGAGACTTGGTCAGCACCAAAAGGAGAGTAATTTTTCTGATCTCAATTGTGACCGCATGTATTTTTTTTACATAAAATACTTTTTTTAATACGTAAAAAATAAGCAGTAAAATATCATTTATTCCCCTATATTGTGTGTTCACAGTGCATAGTGAATTTACTTAATAATTTTAAACAAAAATCTCGTTATCGTGTTGTAGAAGTACCGTGCCATAAGAGTGTTTTAGGGAAATTTTCTTTTCGTGTTATAGTGGAACCTTGTTGTAAACTATCGTGCTATAGGAAGGTCACCTGTACTTTAATAGTTTATGTATTCAAGTGCAGACAGTTAAATTGAAAGCGATTACCCTCACTCATACAAGCGCCAACAATAAGAGTTTCTAGCCAGACGAAAAGAAATACATATTCAAATTTATTTCGTCTCACTGACTGAACAGGAGGTCCTGTTTGTGCGCTTTTTACTGGTGGTAAGACCTTTTGTGATTCCGCAGGGGTAGATACTACCACCACCCTGCCTATTTCTACCGTGAAGCAGTAATGCGTTTCGGTTCGAAGAGTGGGGCAGCTGTTGTAACTATACTGAGACCTTAGAACTTATATCTCAAAGTGGGTGGCGCATTTACGTTATATATACTTAGTCTGGCCATAAATACTGTTACAATTAAAAATAAACAAAATATTACATTTGAATTTGGAATCTGTCATTTTTATATGATTGCTCATTGAGTTTTCCCATTTTGGCGCCAATACAGTGTACAATATTTTGCGATATTAAAATGGAGTGGGGTGATAAAGAGAACCGAATCGCTGTGATTGCATTACACAAATTAGGTATGGAGACAAATGCAACTTTTAAGAGTCTCGATACGCTTGGCATTAGTAAAATGTTTGTGTACCGGGCTATTAATAGGTGCAATGAGACCTCCTCTGTTTGTGACAGAAAAAGATCTGGCCGTCCACGTAGTGTTCGTACGAAAAAGGTGGTCAAAGCAGTAAGGGAAAGAATTCGAAGAAATCCTGTCCGAAAGCAAAAGATTTTATCTCGTATTTTAAAAGATGACTTAGGACTTGCAGCCTATGAGACGTACTCGTCATTTCTTAACTGATAATTTTAAAGAGAATAGGGTGGTAAAATTGAAACAACTACTGAAGCGGTACGCAAAGGGAGGTCATAGAAAAATTATGTTTATGGATGAGAAATTTTTTACAATTGAGCAACATTTTAACAAACAAAATGACCGTATTTATTCTCAAAGCTCTAAGAAAGCTTCCCAATTAGTCGACAGAGTGCAACGTGGGCACTATCCGACTTCAGTGATGGTTTGGTGGGGTATTAGTTATGAAGGAGTGACTGGGCCATACTTTTGTGAAAAAGGTATCAAAACATCGGCACAAGTGTATCAAGATACCATTCTTGAGAAATTAGTGAAGCCCCTTAACAACACCCAGTTCAATAATCAAGAATGGACCTTCCAACAAGACTCGGCGCCAGGTCATAAAGCTCGGTCTACGCAGTCTTGGTTGGAAACGAACGTTTCGGACTTCATCAGAACTGAAAACTGGCCGTCGTCTTGTCCCGATCTTAATCCGCTTGATTATGATTTATGGTCAGTTTTAGAAAGTAATGCTTGCTCTAAACGCCGTGATAATTTGGAGTCCCTAAAACAATCCGTACGATTAGCAGTGAAATTTATTCCCATGGAAAGAGTGCGTGCTTCTATTGATAACTGGCCTCAACGTTTAAAGGACTGTATTGCAACCAATGGAGACCACTTCGAATAAGCTTTTATACTTTAAATTGTTTTATATTTATGTATTAAACTAACACACTGTAAAAGTAATAAATGTTATTTGCCATAGATTTTTTTTGTTTTCCTTTGTAACAGTATTTATGGCCAGACTAAGTATCTATGGGCTCCAGTAACCACTTAACACCAGGTGGGCTGTGAGTTCGTCCAACCATCTAAGCGATAAAAAAAATTACAATACTATCTATTAATTACTTTATGATCTTTACAGATATGCGAGACATTTCCAACTTTACCCCGGATAAAATAAAAGCGGAACACAACATAACCGATTTAACAATTGTAAGTGAATTCACAAAATGCTTAGTGCTTAGTTCAAATACTGCGTTGTTACATTTTGAATTTTAATGAGTACCCGCACCGGTAAATAAAGTAATTAGCACATATTCACGAATGTCTTCCACGATGAAGGATAGTGCGATTGAAATCAAAAATATGATTAGTGTGTTGATTGATTGTAAGGCGTATTGTGTTACGTTACCGCTATCTTCTTTTTTCTCCTACCTATTCGCCGGTAGATTAAGAGGCTATTATAGCTACGCCCGGATGAGTAGGTGAGCTCACGGACTCAACCTGAGTGAAATTGCTAGCCCTAGCAAGAGCAGTGCCTCGCTGAATCTGCCACCGGCCTATACCAGTTTCTGTCTATAAAGCAGTCATGCGTTCCCCGTTCGTGGGAACGGAAACTTGTTCACCCGTCTACGATATAAAAATATAAGGGAAAAAACTACATCAATTTCAAACTAGTTGTCCCGCAGTAGTCGTAATTGGACTATAATTAATTGAAATAAGTTTTAACATTATTATGGTTGTCAAAGATACTTCTATAATAATATGGTTGTCAAAGATACTTCTATAATCACATAATTACTGGTGGTAGGACCTCTTGTGAGTCCGCGCGGGTAGGTACCACCGCCCTGCCTATTTCTGCCGTGAAGCAGTAATGCGTTTCGGTTTGAAGGGTGGAGCAGCCGTTGTAACTATACTGAGATCTTAGAACTTATATCTCAAGGTGGGTGGCGCATTTACGTTGTAGATGTCCATAGGCTCCAGTAACCACTTAACACCAGGTGGGCTGTGAGCTCGTCCACCCACCTGAGCAATAAAAAAAAAAAAAAACATATTTCGCCAAAACTATGCTATAGACAAATAATGTTAAAGACAAACAATATTAACCTATTTTCAATTTGACCACACACTTTAAGCATTAACTAAAGTTTGACAATAAACAAAGAGTATATATATATATATATATATATATATGTGTGTGTGTGTGTCAAATACATGGCAGTGTGTGTAATGTTTTCTTTATTGATTTAATGTATCTTATATGCATTATTAAAAAAAAATATTAGCATTGTGCACTCCTTCTCTATAAGTGTGGGAAATTTCATATTCCTGCGTCCGCGCAATTTTCGTAAAAAGGGGTACAAAGTTTTTGCTTCATGTATTAATATATAAATAATCAATTAAATTGCATTTAATTCAATTAATTCATTCGTAAATATAACAATTGAGAAATAAAATAGATTAAGACATTGATTTTTTTATCCTGCTTATTTGCTGGTAGCATAATAATATGGTGCTATTTCAGCGGACGGAGACATTGATAACGCCGGATTCCAATCGACGACACTCCTGGAGCTCTCGACAGAAGTTATCATATGTGCATTTGTCATTACATGGTGAAATTCTTTTTTTTAGGACAATCACGAGTTCTACAACAGCTCCTTCATCGGCAACGCTATGTTTTTCAACGAGTACTGGGCAAATATCACCACGAAGGGAGCTAATGCCCATCGCTTGCTCAGCAATTCCCACAGAAGGGCAACCGTGAGTACTTTGGCGTAAAGCCAGCCTATAATAATACCTAGAATAATACCATCCTTTCTCTTCCCGCGGGTGTCGTATTGACTAAGGGATGCGCTAGGTGGTTGGTAGTCTCACACCAGCGTACTGCGATTTAATTTACTAGTCGTAGTGTGCGTAGAGTTATATGGGACTGCTTACATATAATACATAGAATTAGAATTTCTAACTCAAACAGCTATCAAAATTTTAACGTTAAACTTGCTAAGAGGTTTCCGTAAGTAATAAATACCAGATGAGCCATTTAAAAGCGTTAAAAATAAACATGTTTTTTTTAAATTATTGATAGTTATAATATGCTCATAATTTTGGTCGATTATTTCATAGTCTATAAATCGCCAAGCGCTTGTCCTTTTTTTTTTTCGGGCCGGGGGCCGAACCTCCTACGAGGTCCCCGTGCCTAGGGGGCGCACGGGGTATGTGAGACTCAACGATCTGCAGGTGTTGAGAGCAGATCGCGGGCCCAAAGATTTTAGGGCCCACCCACTAGACGACTCCCCTGCACTCTTACACACGACGTCCGATCTCCGTCCGGAGTCAGAACCCGGTCAGAGTAGGGGGGTTCCGGCGGCCAAGCCAAGCCAAATCGCCAAGCGCTTGTCCTAGCCTAACCTAATGATCATGTAAACATGTTGTAATCAAGTTAAAGTATCAAGCTGTACATTTCGTACTGTATTCGAAGGCTGCCAAGATCACGTATATGTATACACAATAGAGTAATGGAAAATGACTCTTGTTGTTTGTTATGTAAGATTGGTATTTGAGCTTCAAACCCGCTTAGCTTTTTCCTTCACTGGTACCCTAGGGGGCTATTCCAGCTACTTCCGGACTGGTGGATGAGCTCACGAGCTCAACCTAAAAGAATTTGCTTACACTAGCCCTAGCAAGAGCAGTGCTTCTTTGAATCTACCACCGGATCGCAATCGCGACCCATTGAAAGATCCGGTGAGAAACTCAGTGTGCTGTGTCTTTTGGTTAGTTCACTCGTCACTCGTCGATTACGACGAAGACCGTCAGACGGCTACCGATGCTTGAGGTGCCTAAAAGCACTGAGAGTAGGTCCCGGGGATCCGACAAGATATGTTTCGGGTGACGGCGGCCTTGCGTTGCCCCGTTAGCAACGGCATTACTTTTCCAAGAAATCTTGCCGTTAGACCCAGACTTGTATTACCTTTACCACTCCATTTGTTAGGATCGTGGGTTTAATATGTGGAGACCTATTAAACAACTATACCCTCTCTCGCTAACTTCCCACAGTAATTACGAAGCTTATATACACTTTTCACTTAATAATTTGTTCCAGATGATTCAACTGTCGTTCACATTCCCGTTTTACGGGTATCCAATCAAAGATATAACCGTGGCCACGGGAGGGTTCATTCACACCGGCGAGCACGTTCACAACTGGTTGGCCGCTACGCAATACATTGCTCCGTTGATGGCTAACTTCGACACTTCGCTCACCAACGACAGCTATGTTAAGCTTAAAGACGATGGTTAGTACGAGTAAGGGGTAGGGGGGTTGGGGGGAATCGATGGAGCAACTATGAATATACATTTAAAGATAAATATGGTACATGTCGATTTACGCAATTACGAGAAGTCGTTGGGTGGATAGATTATTCAAATGTTAGTATTAAACAAAACATAACTTGCAATTAAATACTATATCGAAGGATAAAAGGGTATTTGTTTTATGCAACTTCTTTTTTTTACTTTTCTGATGCACAATATAAATTACAATCATCACAGTACATATTAGCTAAATCGTACAAGTAGTACCTAGATCTAATCTGGATTGCAATCTAAATTGTAAGTGAACTCAGCAAAACCATATTAATGTGCATAGCTTTGGCTATTGAAAACACAATTGAAATTACAAATATGGATCTGACAAATCCACTGAGTCTAGGTTCAAAGATATCAAGGTTACCGTGACATTTAGTCAGATTATTATACTGCCTGACCATTCTTACCATAGGGTTATAATATGATTTTTATCTTATACTTTTAAACGTATACCAATCCTTGTATATTATTATAATTATATAATATAATCTGAATCTCGGAAAGGGCTCCAACGATTTTCATAAAATTTAGTATACAGGGGATTTCGGGGGCGATAAATCGATCTAGCTACGATTTATTTTCAGAAAATGTTGCTTTATTCGTGTTTTCAATAATCAACTTTATCGATAATCAACTTTATGACTCTTCCTGATATCTTCTTCGGGGGACTTCGGTTCCCTCTGTATTTTATACCGTATGTTCCATGGGGAGTGCTCTGAGGAATTGTTCGAGATGATACCAGCATCTCGTTTTTACCATCGCACCGCCCGCCACCGGAGTAGAGTTCATCCACACTACCTGGAGCCACTGCGGTCATCCACAGTGCGTTTCCAGAGATCTTTTTTGCCACGTACCATCCGGCTTTGGAATGAGCTCCCCTCCACGGTGTTTCCAGAGCGCTATGACATGTCCTTCTTCAAACGAGGCTTGTGGAGAGTATTAAGCGGTAGGCAGCAGCTTGGCTCTGCCCCTGGCATTGCTGAAGTCCATGGGCGACGGTAACCACTCACCATCAGGTGGGCCGTATGCCCGTCTGCCTACAAAGGCAATTTAAAAAAATAAACTATTGGCGAACAATAATACTATTTTTACTGCTTTAAAGACCCAACAAGATGGCGTTATAAAAAAAAAATGACGAGCAAAGCTCGGTCATCGTCTAGTTTCCATTAATACGCGACATTTATCTTTGTACCTATTTAAAAGATACTTTTTATTTGATATTAGCATCACAGTTCGATGTTTTTAATTGAACTTCAGTTAAGTTTACTGGGTTCAAAGAGCTGAAGATGTTTTTTTTTTTGGTATGATATTTTATCCAAATTTTAGTCTTCAAATGGCTTTACTCCTGTAAAGTTGCAAAAATGTCGCTTAAACTAAATAGGCTTTCATCCTTCGACGTAATTGTTCAACAAGATTTTAGGTATGAAATCGCGTGAAAAAATAATGTTTCTAAAATTATTGTTATTATATTATATAAAAAGTTTTCTTTCGTGTCTTATTGATTTATTATTTATTGAAATGCTGTGATACTTAAAATGCGTGTAAATGATTTTATTATCGAATTTTGATCATTGAACGAACGCTAATTAATGATAGTTCTCATTGTGAATATTGGCGTTCTTGTGACGCAAGCGAGATAATATACTCTATTCCAATTACGAAGTCCCTTTTGACACACTTCTTAGAACGTAACTCTTCACGTTTCGCATAATCTATATATTAATATGTGAAGCAAAAACTTTGTATCCCGTTTTACAAAAATTGCGCGGATGGAGGAGTATGAAGTTTTCCATACTTATAGAGAATATAGAGAAGAAGTGCACAATGCTAATATTTTTATAAAATAATGCCTAAAAGATACATTAAATCAATAAAGAAAACGTTACACACACTACATACCATGTATTTGACGCACACACGCATGCATACTATTTATTGACAAACTTTTGTTCTTGACGTCTGTTGTCAAATTGAGAATAGATTAAATATTGTATGTCTTTGTAAATATTTTTTTTAGGGTAGTCTTGGCCAAATTTGTGATTATAGAAGTATAAAATACAATCATAATAGTGTACAAACTTACAATTCCAATTAATTATAGTCGAATTTCAACTACTGCGGGACCTCTAGTTTGAATTAATATTAATTTTTTGTTCATGGTCGTAAACATCATTTAAAAATTACACAATCTATCTAAATCATTATACAATTAATTCACACACACACAATAACATAATAATCTGTCAAATGAGACTTCGTAATTGGAATATAGTTATGGAACTACAAAATTGTAGGTATTCAAAGTAACATTAACTAGTGGTCCCCGCAGTAGTCGGAATTCGACTATAGATAATTGAAATTAAGAGTTTAAACATTATTATGGTTCTATTGTCAAACACTATTATACTTCTATAATAATACAGATATTAATATATTCTATATAATATAGATTTCGCTAAAACTACACTATAGACAAATAATATTAAAGACAAACAATATTAATCTCTTCTCAAATTGACCACAGACCTTAAACAATAACAAAAGTTTCATAATTGACAATACACAAAAAGTATATTTGTACGTACTAGAGGTCCCGCAGTAGTCGAAATTCGACTATAATTAATTGGAATTGTAAGTTTGTACACTATTATGGTTGTATTTTATACAAATTTCGCCAAGACTACACTATAAAAAATATTAACAAAGACAAACAATATTTAATCTATTCTCAATTTGACAACAGACGTCAAGAACAAAAGTTTGATAATAAATAGTATGCATGCGTGTGTGCGTCAAATACATGGTCTGTAGTGTGTGTAATGTTTTCTTTATTGATTTAATGTATCTTTTATGCATTATTTAAACAAAATATTAGCATTGTGCACTTCTTCTCCATATTCTCTATAAGTGTGGAAAAATTTCATACTCCTCCGTTCTCACAATTTTCGTAAAAAGGGATACAAAGTTTTTGCTTCACGTATTAATATATAGATGTGCTGTGTCAAATACATGGTAGTGTATGTATTGTTTTCTTTATTGATTTAATGTATTTGTTATGGATCATTTTAGAAAAATATTAGCATTCTGCACTTCTCTCTATAAGTGTGGGAAATTTCATACTCCTGCGTCCGCGTAATCTTCATAAAAAGGGGTACAAAGTTGTTGCTTCGCGTATTAATTTATAGATAACCAATTAAATTGCTTTGGTTCATTCGTAACTATAACAATAGAAAAATAAAATAAATTAAGACATTGATTTTTTTGTCCTACCTATTCGCTGGTAGAATTAGGAGCTATTCCAGCGGACGTCAGACATTGATAACGCCGGATTTCCACCGACGACACCCCTGGAGCTCTCGACAGAAGTTATCATATTATGAGCATTCGCCATTACATTGTGAAATTTGAATAGATTTCGTTCGTATGAATATGCTGTTGATTGTTTATTTCTTTTGTTTTCAGGCGACCGGTTCACGGTGCTCTGGGAGAACGTACCCCTCCAGGAGGACCTGACGAAGAAGTTCACGTTCGCGGCGACCCTATACAAGAACGGCGACATCGTGTTCGCCTACAAGAACATACCGATCGACGTCAACACAATAAAGAACACGAGCCATCCCGTCAAAGTGGGCATCAGCGACGCTTACATGACCGACGCGTTCTACTACCGTGAGCTTTCAAAACTATATACGTTCGAACGTTGTTACGTGCTAACCCGTAACCGTCTAAAAAACTGGAATTATAATTATGATTGAGAAATTACTCTGGTGGCCCGGAGGCCTTTCCAGTTTCATCAGGACAGGTGGGCGAATAAAGGCTCAGCCAGGAGGGACGGGATTTGCTAACAGCTGTCCGAGCGCCTCCAAAGGACCGTATACTGAAACCCATAGACACAGCCCATTGAGTTTCTGGCTGGATTTTCTCAGTGGGTCGCGTTGCGGATCCGGTGGTAGATTCCGCGAAGCCCTTGCTAGAGCCAGTGTTAGTAACGTCGTCAGTAGAGCCCCTCACATACTCGCTTGGTGAATCTAGTATAACCCCTCGAGGTCACTAGAATAGGTAGAAAAAAAACTGTTCGCACCTTTAGAATTGAGGTGGCTTAATTCAAAACTCTTATTTTTGAGTAAAACCCAAAAATGTAATTGAAGAATTGTCATTTTTTAGTTTTTCATTTATGATACGTTAAAGGTAAGCGCTTGATTTAAAAGAGAAAGAAAATGAGTACGTTTGTCCGTTTCTAGACTAAAAGAGATTGTTTAATTTTAATAAACTCAATAGAATACAAGCTCAAGTCGTTCAAAATAATTTTTTTTTTTGAATTTTTAGTTAAGTTGTTTAATTGAAAACTTGTAGGAATATACGATGAAAGGAAAGATCTTCCACCGAGCGCGTGATATTGCTCAGCAGACCGACGGTCCGAATGTTGTTGTTCGGAACTTGTATATATGCAAGCTTATCTTGAAAATGTCGTAAGCGAGATTCAGGCATCTGTCAATTATCTTGCGTTGTATGATGGCTACCCGCCATAAACTCTAATCGTGCATATCACATAGGGCGTTTCTTTATGGTAATGACTGTTCTATTTTTTTTCTTATTAATAATACCCTTATTGCGTTAAAATTCGTCGTAGGTTCGATTCTCGCATCGAACAAACATTCGTGTGACGAACAGGTTTGTTCGCGCTCGAGTAATTAATATGCGATCCGCCAAAAAAAAATAATAATTAAAATTGGCTCATTGATTAAAAACGTTGCTCATCTCTGTTCTAAATTATTTATTGATAATGACATCCACTAATATTAATTACTAACTTCATTGTGCCGGTGTACATGTACTATATCAATTGACTGTCACGATCCAGAGATCCCGAAGCTGACGATATACCACCGCGTCTCGTTCAAGAACCACAACATCAAGAACGGCACCGTCCTGTGGCTGACCGCGCTGCCGACCTGCATCCAGTTCAGCACGTGCGACGAGTGTCTCAACCACGACACCACGTTTAACGTAAGACATTTTGACCTGTATAGATAATACACATAAATTAGTCTATTTCTGCCGTGAAACAGTAATGCGTTTCGGTTTGAAGGGTGGGGCAGCCGTTGTTAGAACTATATCTCAAGGTGTGTAGCGCATTTACGTTGTAAATGTCTATGGGCTCCAGTAACCACTTAACATCAGGTGGGCTGTGAGCTCGTCCACACATCTAAGCAATAACAATAAATTAAAAAAAAACTAATATAAAGGGGAAAGATTTGTTTGTTTGTTTGTTTGTATTAAATTGGCTCCGAAACTACTGAACCGATTAAAAAAAATCTTTCACTGTTGGAAAGCTACGCTATCTCCGGGTGGCACAGGCTATATCACTACATAGTATAAAATAAAGTCGCTTTCTCTGTCCCTGCGTATGCTTAAATCTTTAAAACTACGCAACGGATTTTGATGCGGTTTTCTTTAATAGATAGAGTGATTGAAGAGGAAGGTTTATATGTACAATAACATCCATTAAATAGTGGAGAAATCAATAATACATTACAGTTTCCGAAGCGAAGCCGGGGCGTGCCGCTAGTTATAGATAAGCAACTCAAGCACTCAACCCATTTGACTGAAAATTTATTTGAAACCATGATCTTACTTCACAATAAAAAATAACCTAAATACACCGCCTCATGTTATTATATGCTGATGCTATGATGTTAAATATACGTTTACGCACGTATGACGTCATGTATTGTTATTCGTATTTAGTTTAAAAATGTATGATTCAAACCCTTAATGCATTCAACAGTTACTTGTCGCAGCGTTTATAAGAGGACTGTCTAGAAGCGTGTCTCAAATGATGTCATTAATATCGATTTATTTATAAATCATCTTTTAAACTATAATAGTGTTTAAATGGTCGTACAAAAGTACAATAGGCGGTCTGACAGACAACTGATAGTTGGACAAGAATTATTTCACGCAAGAAATTAATCGCGGTGCACTAATTGATTGAAAAAAAATGTGTATGGTATTATAATGATATTCTTTTAGAGAACACAAAAAATGAATTATCAATTTACACATAGACACATTGTACTTTTTTTTTACTGCCCTTGTAAGCAGACGAGCATATGGTCCACCTGATGGACTCCAGTAATGCCAATGTGGCGGTAGCCATCATACAACACCAGATATTTGACAGATGGCTGAATCTCGCTTACGACATTTTCAAGATAAGCTTGCATATATACAAGTTCCGAACAACAACATTCGGACCGTCGGTCTGCTGAGCAATATCACGCGCTCGATGGAAGATCTTCCCTTTGTCGATTAAGCTTCCCACAGCCAATATATCTACAAATCATACCTATGCAACTTTTTTTTAAATATTATTAATTAAACTAATTAGATATTTTAGTCAACAAAGTGTTAGTGTTTAAATTATCGCACGATGTTTTAATTTCAGTGTACGTGGTGCAGTCGTTTGCAGAAGTGCTCGAGCGGTACAGACAGGAACAAACAAAGCTGGGAGATCAAACGTGAGTCTATAATGGAACTTTTTTTAAGGGATTTGATGACCTGGTAACTAAGACCTTTAAGTCAAGTCTTATTTTAATTTATATCTATTACGGAACTGTTTGTACTATCACTTCATTCAGAGCGACAGAGGGGACGTAGGAAGGCAGCGCGAGGAGGATGGAGGACCAGCTGTGTGACACGCGTCATTTTTGTTAATTCCATAGCATGTATTTAAGTCTAAATACGCAACTGTTCTCTTGATATATTTTCAGTTTTCACAGTCACAATATAAGAATACAGGGGTTGTTTGCATCGCGCGTACTAGTCACGCGGGTCGTGCGAATACTTAGTGTACAAAGACAACCAGATCCCAGATATCTTGATAAAAATACTAACTCCGAACCGAATCCGAACGATTCTCGAACTCCGGTCACTGACCTATCGTTAAAAGAGTAGATCAAGAAAATTTCAATATTAAAATCCAGAACTTTATTTAAAAAAAAAAAAAATATTTCTTGACTATTCGGAATTTGAAACTATTATTCTCTTAACCTGCTCTTTAGAGTAAAGCCAGTAGTGATTCATGTTTCTAGAACAATCTCCTTCGAATCACAGCTCATTTTCGATAAACTTTTTCATGTTCGGAGCGATTCTACTACTGTCCTATACGTTTTTTTGCGATCAAGCAGTCACTAAATCTAATATATTGACATTACAGCTGAGATATTAGCCCTCACATTTCAAGGAGGATGGCGGCTCCTTTAACCATCACCATCTGTGCAATGAAGATCGAATATCTATATTAATATTATAAAGCTGAAGAGTTTGTTTGTTTGAACGCGCTAATCTCAGGAACTACTTGTCCGATTTGAAAATTCTTTCAGTGTTAGATAGCCCATTTATCGAGGAAGGCTATAGGCTATATAACATCACGCTAAGACCAATACAAGCGGAGCACCAATAAAGAATGTTTCAAATTCGGGCTTATTTTTATCTTTTAAGAGCTTCCGCTGCGTGCGCTGCAGAAACGGTTAAAGTTTCGCTAAAATAATGTATAATAACATTGTTCCCCTTTAAAAGATCCAAAAAAATAAATCCGCGACAGCATATGTCTTTATGTTAAAGTTGGCTCACTATAACGTTTTTTTATGCTACCCAAATTTGTTCTAAAATAAAGCATTATTTGTGAACTGTTCCACGCGGACGAAATCGCGGGCAAAAGCTAGTCTTAAATAAACAAAACAATTTTTAATCTTTCTTTAATATTAGCGTTCTTTCAAGCCCACTGAGTTTCTCGCCGGATCTTCTCAGTGGGTCGCGTTTCCGATCCGGTGGTAGATTCTGCGAAGCACTGCTCTTGCTAGGGCTAGTGTTAGCAACTCTCCGGTTGAGCCCCGTGAGCTCACCTACAAACGTTAGGGCGAAGCTGCAATAGCCTCTCAAGGCTATCAGCATAGGCAGGATAAAAAAAAAAGAAAGTTACCTTCATGTGACTATGATGCGTTTTCCTCAAACCGTTCAATGCTGAATGTAAGTCTCTTCTATATGTTTCCTCCCTTATGGCCTTTACCCATCTCACTCGTTGCCTATCTACGTTCTACATAATCAATATAACACTGGTTAATACATATTTTGTTACAGAATGCAACGCGTCTGCACTGACGAACGCGACGACCTGCCCGGCGACGCAGTCCGACACTGCCAACAACACTGTCAACGCCAGCACCACAAATAAACCTGACAATCAATCAACGACCGCAGCCGGTACGTGTATACTGTATATGTTATATCAAACATTTTTAAACCGTATTGAAAATTCTCCGGTAACGTCGATCTTTTCACGAAAATTTATAAGTTAACTAGCTGACCCGGGAAACATTGTTTTGCCATATATAAGATTTCTAGGGAATTTCTAGTGTAGAAAAAAAAACTAACTTATTGTAAGTGTGTAAGGATGTGGTAAATGAGTGAAAGAGGTATGTAGTGCTGTAAACGATGAGGGAATATATAATAAAAATAACAAAACCTCATTCAAGCACATAATACCTCATTATAACAACAAAAAAATGTCCAAATAAAAAAAAAAATTAGTGGTGGACAACCCTAATCACTTAGGGGTATAAAAAATAGATAGTAGCTGATTCTCAGGCTTACTGAATATGCATAAATTTTTTCCTGAGAATCGGTCAAGCGGTTTCGGAGGAGTATGGGAACGAACATTGTAACACGAGAATTTTATATATTAGATTTACTAGTGTTTTTAATAAGAAGTCTACGTGGACTATAAGATAAGACCTCCGGAGTACTCGTATCGAGCGATGTGACAGTGTCGGTGTTCAAATCTCAGGAAGACATCGTTTTTTCAATGTAATACGTACTTAACTTGTGTTCTCACAAATTACTCTCACGATGAAGGAGTAACATCATCGTGTGTTTAAAACTTGACCCGTGATATTGTGATTTGCGTAACAGCAAGCGGGTAACAAGTGGATGAGGAGAGCCGCAGACCGGGCTCAGTGGTGTAGATTGGGAGAGGCCTATGTCCAGCAGTGGACGACTGTGGGCTGTTGATGATGATGATGATGATGACGATGAAGCGGGTAATTGAGTAATTAGCTTACTACGAGCAGCACACACCGTCTACGCAATAATAATAAAAAATTGAATGCATATTTATCTAAATAAATACAGTCTAATAATGTATTCTGGCGACTTATTTTTTTCCAGATGCCGTTGATCACGCAAAATCTCGCGTTCAGATCTCAGTACCGGTTCAGAGGAGGCCGATAGGGGGCGCCGTGTTTGGGTTCGTGGTGGTCGCTCTGATATGTTCGCTTGCACTTTGGGTGGTGTACGCGTTCAAGAATCCTCACACTCGCAGCGGACAATTCCTTATTAAAGTAAGTTTACTGTTTCATTATTCATCTGTGAATCTCAAAAGTTAAGACATGGAGTCTCTTGAGTATGACGGTATTAATGTTATGATGACCAAAGACCCTGGTACTCCAAGTTTGCCATGAGTTATTCACGGCAAGTCTCATGCTGGAACCCTTAAAACCTTTTACAATTAGAAACGTCTAATTTATACAATGAAATAAGTAGAACAGTGGTGGAACACGTCACAGCATCCATTGTTAAAGATAAGTGTTACGGGATAATAAAATGAGTGTTACTAAATTAAGCAAACACTAGCAGCATGATAGGTTATACAAAATCACCTGCCTAATGATTCTATGCTCGGAGCCGTTTTCAAAATTTCAATTTACAAGAGAAAATAGAATATATCAATTACAATTATTGTGAACTGGATACATAATCATTGAATTAATTTTAAAAACAGTATATTAATCCTTTGAGCACGAACTGTCGATAGGTCGTGTATAAAGTGCGGAGCGTCGCAATACTGACTATTGCGCAATCTGTGTGCTCAGTGCGAGTTTTTTAACGTTCTCGATAGCGTAAAAGTTAGCTCATATTTGTATGGAATGGGATTGTTTGCCTACGTTTGCCGCTAGGGGCGCTGTTCCAACTGCATACAGAATTGGGTTAACTTTTACGCTATCGAGAACGTTAAGAAACTCGCACTAAGCACACTGATTATAGGTATTAGGTATAGTAACCGGCAAACATCTTGAGCAAATGACCTTGATTGCGCAGAACCGATTTTTAGATCACTTTGGTGGTGAGGGTGAGGCGCGCGACGGCAGGGGACATCGTATCGAGCGCGTTATTGGTAGATCAGTCGAACCTTGCGTCCCGCACCGCGCCCTCGTTCCGCTTGCTCCCAAAAGTACGCTTGCGTACAGTGAAAAGTCTATCGTTATTAATCGTTAAGTTATTTGTTATAATTGTTTGTTGACTTTGTTGCCATTGCTATTTGTTGAGTGTTTGTTGACTTTTTATAAAAAATACACTATGCCGCGACAAACTGGTGTAGTGTTCAAAAGAAAGGGTAGAAAAATAGTGTACGACGTATATTGCTTCATTATAAAACAGGGGAAAAATGATATGGAAAAAGTAAAACAGACTTCGGAAGCAACAAAAACATCCGTGAGTACTGTTAGGTCCATTATTAAGGAAGCTAAAGGCTCCGGCTTGCTCGCCGTGTTTGGGACTCCGGGTAAGAAAAGATCAGGGAAGAAGAAAGTTACCGGAATGGATAGTTTCGTTCAATCTGTAATAAAAATATGTAATCATAATAACTGCATAGCAAGCAGCGAAGCTCCGTACCGTAGAAAGGCTTCGAAAAATTCAAAGAAGATATACATTTTAATGGCTCGGAATGAAGTTTACGACAAATTATGAAAGAGCTAGGCTTCAGATGGAAAAAAAACAGAAAATAATCGGAAGCTGGTAATTGAAAAAAGTAACATTCGATTACTACGAATCGAATATCTTCAAAAAATAATTAATTATCTATAGACAAAAAAGAAGACCGAACCGACCGAGTTGTAAACTACACCCATGAGCCCTATGTAGACTCATCACGATGATGGCGACTCGGGTGATGAAAACAGTGATGATGATGATGATGGTCAAGATTATGATAACGAAAAAAAAATTACAAATAATATAATATAATACCAGCTTCGCTTCAACTGAACCAAGACCTGGCAACAGCTCTAGTTTTGACTTAATAGAAGGAATATCTATTTTACCCCAAGATTAAATTATTACAATTATTAACCAATATTCTTTGTTGATGTTCTAATAAATATATAAATAAATACATATGTTGATTTTAATAATTTAATTGCATTATGACGCAGAGTAAATAATGTTTTTGCACGTGAGTGTACCATGCGCAAACTTACCCCCACTACGTCAACAAATGCTCAAGAAGTTTGCCGGCTATTATATCGACCTATACGGACGTGTCTCAGAGCGCGCACCTATAACGTTTTTAATAAGTTAACAACACTTACAAATAACCATTTAAAATTGTTTTGCTGTGAATTTATTTTTGTAATTTTTTATAGCAATTTCGGCAAAATATGTGTAAATAAGCTCAGTACTAAATGGGTTAAAAATCGCATTTTTCTGTATCCTCATCAAATAATCCTTATTAAATATTTAATTGATGAGATTTTAATGATTAAACCGTTAATATTGAATTGAGATTATAATTGTATGTCATTAGTGTGATTATTATACATATATATATACGATCCACAGTACCGACCGTCGCAGTGGAGTTGGCGTCGCGGTGAAGCGCGCTACACGGCCGCCACCATCCACATGTAAGACGCCGAGCCACCCTCAATACAGAATAACACCTAACGATCATTATTCACATTTATAATCTACCTAAATTTCGAATTTATATTCTAGTTTAGATTTAGTCGAGATATGTATTTAGAAGATTTTTTTATTTTTATTTCCATTACGGTGGGCTATGATCGTTCTCGAAATTCGCTCTTATTTTTACAACTAGCTTTAGTCTTAGCTTTTTCTCCAATCATAATAATCCTCCTGCGTTTCTTTCAGTCACTTGGGGTCGGCGCAACATGTTTTTTCCTTCCATACTCCATCATATACTCCCCTTCTTATACATATCGTCTTTCACGCAATCCATCCGTTTTTTCTGAACTCTACTTCTTCCTCTAAAACCTTCCACATTCATAGTTAAAACTCTCTTAACAACCTCATTTTCATTTCGTCTCATCACATGCCCATACCATCCCAAACGCGCACTTCTCAGCTTCTCTGTCACAGGTGCCACTTTCAGACTTCTTCTAACTTATCCATTCTCGTTACTCCACACATTCATCGCAACATTCGCATAGTTTTTTCTCCAATATCATTAAAGCAAAGGCAATAAACAAGACGTTCATTTGAACTTCAGTCTATAGTTAAGACATTCGATAACACCGCCCCGCCCCCCTAACTCCTACCCCCTGATCAGGTAGCAGGAGGAAGTTGTCCCCACGAGACATGCGAATATCTTTTTTTATTTAACTCCTTTGCTTGCAAAGGATCAAATATCATTAATAAATAAAGATTTTCGGTCGACGCTAACTCCCTCTATCGTCGGTTTCGAGAACGATTCTAATCCACCCCGTGTACACCACTAGCCAACCGAACTAAACAAGACAAAGTACTAGAATGTAAACGTGTATTCGGGATTTGTGAGTTTTTTTAACAAAAACCGTATTGTTATTATGAGTTTGAAATTTCGGATTTTTTTTTCAAATTGTGGTCACCCCAACTGGTTAGTCGGATACCATATTTAGATTTTTAGTATCACAACATCTTGTATAGTTTCTTGTTATTAAAAAAGTGGTGTACACTGTTTTCGTATTTATGTAGTTTTTTTTTTAAAGATTACATCATTAATTGACCTTTATAAAATAGTTTATGTTTGCGGACGCATTTTTCTTTCTCTTTATTTTGTATAGTTTAATTTGTAACGATATTATTGTTTTGAAGCGGGCGATTTGCTGACGCTGTTTATTGACATGGCACAATTATTATTAGACTTTAGGCGGGCACATTCGTTCACGTTGTCGCAATTTATAATATATTATTATAAAATATATTAAATGTTTATATACTTTTACGTGAATTGAAAGTTTTGTCTAAGTATATCTAGAAATAACAAAATGCACATATTTACAAAAGAAAAAACCTAAATAAAACGATACCTTTTGGTAACAACAACTACTTAGTGCATCTAAAACATTACATATCTTATATAATATATATTTGAGTACTGAATAGAAAATAATTATACATGAAAAATATGTTATAAGAAAATGTGGAAATAATCATAAATGGATTATTTCAATAAAATTTACAATATTTAAGAAGCAACACAATACAAAACATAATGTGATTTGAATAATAACGTAAAAAAATGTATGACAGCTATTCTACATATTATAATCGCAAGCTTAATATGGTTGTCGTTCTGAATATTCATCTTCGATAACTAACATTTTTATTCGCGTAAGTTCAAGATCCCGTAGGGAGATACAATGAGAATGAAACGTAAATGTAGTATTGGTATACCGGCGCAGTTCTGAACACTCCTCGTTGATCCGAGATAGCGATTAGTATCAGACAACGAAATCGAATTTTTTAATCACTTTTTGCACACCCCATTAAAGGGCGTCACACACGGCGAAGATGCTACAATGTTTTATCTTAACATACGATATCGCTCGCTATACATTTTGTATGAACTATCACTCACGGTTAAGATAATATATATTTTGTATGAACTTATCACACGTAGTTAAGATAATATATATTTTGTATGAACTTATCACACATAGTAAAGATAATATAAATTTTGTATGAACTATCACACATTATTAAGATAATATATATTTTGTATGAACTATCACACATAGTAAAGATAATATAAATTTTGTATGAACTATGACACATTATTAAGATAATATATATTTTGTATGAACTATCACACATAGTAAAGATAATATAAATTTTGTATGAACTATGGCACATGGTTAAGATAATATATATTTTGTATGAACTATCACACATGGTTAAGATAATATATATTTTGTATGAACTATCACACATGGTTAAGATAATATATATTTTGTATGAACTTCTCACACATTATTAAGATAATATATATTTTGAATGAACTATCACACATTGTTACGATACTATATATTTGATAGTTCATAGAAAATGTTATAGCGAGCGATATCGTATGTTAAGATAAAATATTATAGTATCTTCGCCGTGTGTGACGCCCTTAAGTCTGAACGCATAAATGCATGATTTAATACATAAAAGACGCAATTTCTAAAATATTTACCAATCAAAGAATTAATTTCTTATGTCAGATGTGTAGATTACGAACACTGTATCGATCAGCTCACCGTAAAATCGCTACATAAAATTAAGTCGACAATTAAATATGGGACACATTAGTAAAATTACCATCCGAGTACACGATACGAATGAATGAAATATGTTTAATTTGTTTAATAACATAAAGTATTTTTCTTTTGTCCATTAAAACTATTAGAAGTTTGAAATTATAATTACAACTCATCAGAATAGAAAATACTACCAATGTGTAACGTTGTGATATGTAGACTTTTGTAAATATATTATGTGAACGGGTCGACGATTGTGCGTATATACATGTGTTTGTATTCCGTAAGTGAATGAACAATGGCTCGCGGGCAAAACCTCTGATGTCCTTATGTCTGCGTCAATAATTCTTAGGTTGCTACGGAATGCAAAATGATTGGTATAAATACCATTTGGGATATCTAATCGGAAAACCTGGAGTTTGTTTTCGGACTGACCTAATGCGATCCGTCCTTAAAACGTTCCATTATAAGATTATTCTCATGAACTGCTTCGTCAACGAAACGATGCGTCTTTGTTATTTTGTTGGATCTCCGTTATGGATTTCGTAAAAAACCGGTAAGAGAAGTTTCGAATTCATAAGACGTGTGAACAATCACGAAAATAATATTACAGAAAACATAGTGTTCCGTGTTTAAAATAGAAATACAAATATTTTACTATATTCAGAAGGGAACAGGTACATTTTTAATACTGGATGCCATATACTTGACAAATTGACACAATATATAAGAGTTTTTACCTATATATCAAACGTGTTTGTAAAAAAAAACCGAGAATAATCATATCACTATTTTTGTCTAATATTGAATGCATATTTCATTTTGTTCTATTTAAAAGACTTATTTTGATAAGGAGTTAATTATATTCTACGAAAAAAGTATATTACTAAATAAATTTCACTAATGTCTGATAAATCTCTTAAAAAATAATAATATAATGTGCCTAAAGTGGTTGAATTATACACTTTTTTAATATTATGCAAGAGTTTATATAATTAATATTCATATACGAATAACGGTTATTTACGACAAAAATGTTTGATTAAAATAAATAGAATCTCTGGTGATCTGCTTTTACAGGTAAAACATTTAAAATTAAGTTTGGTATAAGATTTATTGGGTTCGGTACTTATAAAAATCAAAATTATGATTGAAATTCCGTGTTATTGTAACCTGCAGAGTAGTAGTACAAAACCGAACGTGTAACGTATACAATTGAAAAATATTTTTTGGAATCGTTACTCATATTAAGTCTCCGACAAATAAGTATATATTTGACATTATCAGTGAAATATTATATAATGTTTATAAGCTATTTACCCCGCAACCTACAAATGGTGCTCTATGCAAATTATACGTCCAAAGTATTGTTATTCCAGAAATTATGGACCAGGGCATAAATGCCCTTACAAAATTTATTCTTATTACACGATGATAGATTTAAGAATATTAGTGATATTATGTGTTTTAACAAAAATAAAGTTTCTTCATGGTATTTTGGAGATGTAACCTTTTTAGGAAATAATATATTCTTGATGTCAACATATTATCTTGTAACGAGTTTGTACAACAAAGATCTTTGAAATTTCGAATCTTTTGGGGACATTATAATTCTTCTGTGACTGGACACATGTTCAAATATTCATATTGTATTTTACGTAATCTGTCCGGTTTCTATCCGCGAGTTGCTGTGTGTTGATTAATAAACTTGCCGTTGGAAACTAAATGCTGTTTTATTTCAACCAATCCCTGTTCTCCGTGAATGTCTATTTCGAGAAAGAACCACTTGGAAAGGTCTAAAACTGTTCCATACTGATGATTTTTACTGGTGGTAGGACCTCTTGTGAGTCCGCGCGGGTGGGTACCACCACCCTGCCTATTTCTGCCGTGAAGCAGTAATGCATTTCGGTTTGAAGGGTGGGGCAGCCGTTGTAACTATACGTGAGACCTTAGAACTTATATCTCAAGGTGGGTGGCGCATTTACGTTGTGGATGTCTATGGGCTCCAGTAACCACTTAACACCAGGTGGGCTGTGAGCTCGTCCACCCATCTAAGCAATAAAAAAAAAAAAAATTAATACCGTTTTTTGCGGCTTACATAATCTGAATCCGTATGCGGTTTTAAAAAAAAGTATTATTGTTCATTGTAATGTTGAACAAAGAGCGCAGGTGTGTTTATTGCGTAACCAACCACATACGAGATTAATAACCCATTTTCCTTTTCAGTCATTATTCAAAACTTAAGCTATTTCCAAAATGAACGTTTCGAAGATAAAAATTCTTGTGAAATTAATATTCATAATTTCGAATGTAGACGCTAGGATATTCTGTGAAAAGAATAAAATGCCTTTAGAAGTCGGCGAGTGGCATAAAGATTACAAGCAAATGGATTCGGCTATTGTCGAGAACAGTCCCGTGACTATAAACGAGGGACAGCTGTACGTGTACGAGAATTACTTCCCGGGACACACGATCAAGTACATCCACGTCGACAATCTAGCGATCAGATCGTGCGGGGCCAGTGCGTCTATCAAAAACGGCGGAGTGGGAACGTCGTCGGTACTGATCGTGTTACACGCAGACTCCAATCAGGAGATCAGATCGGTGATCGACATATGGGGGGTTAAGAACTACGAGAAGACCACTCGACGAGCACTGAACCCGGAATCGTTGAAGAACATGAAGTCTTTGTATTTGTTCAAGGAGTTGCGAGCTGTCAACCACAACGGCGGATTCTGGCGATGACTCCGCGTAGTCAAAGATGATGTCCACTTGCAGTAAATTTATAATCAAATTGGACAAGTTTGAAACGTTATTTTTTTTATCTTATAACGAACTGAATGAAGAACTTTAGAACTCTAGAAGAAAAAAAAAAAAAAAAAAAAGGTATAATTGCAAAGTTAGGTTAAAATGAAAAGAAAGGATAACGATAAATGACTTTATTTAAATTCACATCACATTATTAAAGTAACGAAAGAAGTGTTATAAATCTTAGGTTAAACTTAATACTTTCGAAAGTAAACTTATTTGACAATTTTGGAGTATAAAAAATAAGACCGCCGGTGTAGTGATATCGAGCGATGCGAATGTGCCGGTGATCAAATCCCGCAGCAAGGTACTAATTATTATAGTGAAGTACGCACTGAACTCACGAAGGCTTCCAAGACGAAGGAATAACATTGTGTAAAATACAAAAACGCGGAATAACTACTAATGCTAGGGTGCGCCGTAAGCCCATACTCGTTTCTACCACCAGTTAGGCGGTAGTCATGCGTTATGTGTGCGTAGTGCGAGTTTTTTAACGTTCTCGATAGCGTAAAAGTTAACTCAACTTTGTATCGAGATCGAACGTTTGCTTACGTTTGCCGCTAGGGGCGCTGTTCCATCTGCATACAACTGTGAGTTAACTTTTACGCTATTGAGAAAGTTAAAAAACTCGCACTAAGCACACTGGTTTGAAGGGTGGGGCAACCCATACTATACAATCGACACTTAAGACTCCATGTCCGAGGGGTAGCAGTGGCTCCGTTAACCACAATTAAACTAAGAGAAATAATTGAATTTGAAATGAACACCGAAAGCGCACCGTAACATCTACTCGTACCACGCCAAGCACATGACGATATAATCATATAATAATATACTAATTTACAACGATTAACCACATGTGACGTCATGCATTGTTATTAACATATCTAAATACCGGATAAAATTATTAAATTTTTTTAGTTCAACTTATTTACTCAACACTTGAATGATTTTTATTAAATTTTATTTAATTTTTTTATCAGTGCGTACTTTTTTAGTGTTATTGGTTTTCTAATACAATAACAACATAGCTTATAAACTAAACAAAATACCAATTATTTTCATTTTTTTATCCTGTCGACACCGGTCAGAACATTAGAGAGAAGTAATAAAATTATTATATTGTCATTAGTCATTGATGCGTTTGTGGTTTGAAGTTTTAATGTTATTCGGACGTATTCAAGTCCGTGAAAACGACGTTGAAAGATAACATTACATAAGGCCAGTGAAACCTTGCTAGAACATCTAGAGCGCGTTGGCTTTGTCCACACTCGTAATAAATTACAGATTCGTTTATTGGAATTCAGTTAAAAACTAGGTCGCCTGTATTGATGCTATGTTGTGCGCAATCACATGAATTATTAACTTTACATCCTATTACAATAATCAATGGGTACCTATTCAAATGTTGATCTTTCTCGTTTAACAATTACAATTCAAGTCATGACGTCAATACTTTATATTCTTTGATGTAACACAAGAATATAATCGAGTAATACAACACTATTATCATAATAATAATATATTTCATAAAACAATAATCACAACACATTGACAATCACAATCACGATATTATGCATATTCTAAAAAAAATAGACAGTGACTTTTACGAATTACTTCTGTTTAAAAATTAATTTTCTTTGACAAAATATTTTTTAGAAGAAAATGATGCTACATATTTCACCTTAAAAATGAGCACTTATCTCCGACAGTATAAGTTTTCACCAAAATTAAATATGAAAGTCTACTCGTACAGTTCAGATATGGGCGCTACATACGGCAACAATGTATCATCACATATTGCAAATTATTTCGTTTGCACATTTAATTGGCGGTAAATACATTTTCAATATTCGTAAGTTAATGACGGCAGACACGTAACAAAACGCGATATCATGTCGAGGTTGGCGCAAATTACATCCTCGACCAGAGTCCCGTGACCTTCCACGTAGTCCATTTTCACTGGTGTTGGACGAGTCTAGCTCTAACGCTATCATCGGCCAAGACACAGGTCAACGTACTGGTGGGGCTTTTCAGTGTATATCAGTGTGTCCATCTACCTTTTTGAGCACACAATAAAGTCCAAAAATGCAAGCACATCTTCATCATCGTGCGTTAATCCAGATATTTGAACTTTGAACTCTTGGAAGAACCAATGGCCTGTCCACCGATCGACATAGAGCCGTCCAGTATAATTGTTCATACTAGAAAAGACACCGTTGCCGCGTGTAGGGACATAATATATCAATAAAAAAGTCATATCAATAAAAAAATAGCAATACTTTTACAGTGTAAAAATTAACAATTATTTCAATGTTTTAATTTTTTTTGTATTTTTTAATTTATGCTTAATTAATGCTACTTAGATTAAATATTTTGTTTAATTTTAGAAAAAATACTATTTAAAAAAATAAAATATCTCTTTTCAAAAGTGTGAAGCATTTAGGAGATTATTTTAAGGCATTTCATTTTGTATCGTTGAAAAAAGAATATTTATAAATCAATCGCTTTTTTTTTATTGCTACTTTATGTTTTCCCTATGAACCTGTAAAATATAGTACCATGTAACAGTGGCAAATGCAAAAACCGACGACATGAATAAGTCCCCCGGAGATATAGCAAAATTATTTCAACTCATTTTTGGAATATTCGCATAAGCCACAAAAAAAGACTACTTATATTTCACGAATACACCATCGATTTAGATAACGCCTTCCTCAATAGCGCTGTCAAATGGAATAATATACAAATAAGACTGCTACTGCTGAGAAAAGTACTTTTAAACATAATCCTTAGCTTTATATTTTGGCTTTGCCACTTTTATTCGCCTGTAAATACATCTTTTTCTTAAGGAATACATACTTAGAGATATTAACTCTCAAACATATTTGTTTTTAAGCATATCGAAAGCTTTTTTTATAGCAACATTTAACTATTTATTAGCGATTATGTATGTCAATATAATAGGGTATCGAATTTTCTGCTTTTTTAATTAAGTGCTTCGGCGAGGATATCGATCAAAGAGACAGCATATAGCAGTAAATAAATTGGTCATTTGTGGGCAAAAATAGAGCTATATATGTGAAAAGATAGACAAGGCTCTTTTCCTGCAGGGATACATATTGTTTTCTTGGTTGGTGAACTCACGGGCTTCCCCTAAAAGAATTTACTAACACTAGCCCTAACAAGAGCAATGCCTCACAGTATCTACCACCGCCTCGGAATCGCGAGCCACTGAGAAGATCCGGCGCGAAACTCAGTGGGCCACTATCTTCTAACGAACCGCGTTAGAAGGCTACACCGACAATTATCATAGTTGAGAGCGAAGCGTGCTAAACATATAAAAATTCAATGAGAGAATAACACATTTATAAAACTTTTAGCTTCTCACGTCTCGACGTCATGATTGTTATTGACGCCCGACAGTGATTCATTTCTACTTATCAATGACTATTAAACTGTTTTTAAAAGGCTTTCGTCAAAGTCGTTATGTCGTCACGTAACATATACGCATTTACTATAATACTTTAAAAGTTAAATTTTAGGGGTATACGTCAGTTATTATTTTAAAATTTATAGAATTCAAGTTTTTTGTGTGACATTGAATAATATTACTAAGCAAACATTTATCATCGTAACAATATAAGAGGCACACGTACTCTATTTAGAGCTCCGTCAATTGATAAGGTCAATAGACGTTAAGTTAATGGCACACTGAAAAGTTATAGAGAATATATCCAAACATAGATGTCAAAAACATACAGTTATCCACAATATTATATTACATTTTTGGCATAATGAGATGTCTGAATAAAATAAAACATTTAATCTAAAATTACTCATAAAACTATTAATTTATATTTTTTTGTTATTAATAGCTTTATATATTTAAAACAGAATAAAAACTTATGAATATTTATGAAAATTATTATTCATTCTTATTTTTCTAACATCATTATACGTTAATACTAAATAATTCTAAAATATAACTTCTTTTTGGAAAAAAAAGATAAAGCAAAAAATCTAAGAAACAACTACTAATAATTTTTGGACTTAATACTTATTTTAATTACAATTTATTATAAATGGATATTATTATGACAATCGAATAAAGCTCTTACAAAGTTTTTCCTTTAATTTTTTATTTTTTTTATTTTTTTATAAAACACAGGATTACTCTACTGCAACTTTCTAATCTAAATTATCGTTTAATGTTTGTAAATCTAAAGTATTAAAACTGTAATTTTTTATTATAATACATTATTTTTAGATTTTACTTTGAGGTAGAACTTTTTTTTTTCATTTGAAAGTTTTTACATCACATCATGACAATATATTATGCATATACAATCAAATTGTAAGTCACATAAACTACAATATTTTGATTGGCATGAGTAAGTTTGTAAACACTACCATTTAAACAGTACTAATTTCCGAAACACATTTTTTTTTAAATCAAAGGCAATATAAAATTGACTTTAAATATTTCTTTTAGTAAAGTCTATTAATATTTTAAAACAATTTTTTTATGAGTAACACATACATTACTCATAATTATTTTTTTTAATCAACATCTATGTTAATTATGTTTATTCACATTTCTTTACAGTAGAATACACAGTCGAGAAATAATGAATATATTTTTGGTGACAGTAGTTGAATATTAACGATATATTTCTATATATCGCATCGAGCGTGCTTACCACCTGTTACGCGACGGAACCCACAAAATACACCAACTACGTCTTATACTCAATGTTTTACGCGTACCGAATAACAATCACAATCATTAACAAGTAGTAACTTATATTAATTTAGTTGACGGCTTACTCCACGTTGTGAAACTTCAATATGGCTCGTCCCTTTATTTCTGAATTACAAAGTTTTCGCACGACCTCTGCTGCCTCCTCAGCTGGGTACACCGAGTGCGGAGGGGGTTCGATCTGGTGACACGAATTATTAAATAAAATCTTCAATTCTTTCTCGCCGGATCTTCTCAGTGCGTCGCGTTTCCGATCCGGTGGAGATTCTGCGAAACACGGCTCTTGCTAGGGTTCGTATTAGCAACGTTATCAGGTTTGAGCCCCGCGAGCTCACCTACTAGTTAAGGTTACGCTGAAATAGCTTCTCAAGGCTATCAGCTTAGGTAAGATAAAAAAAAAAAAGCGCCGCGTAGAGCACCGGTGACCTACATGGCAGTCAAAGGGTTAAATTGTGTGATTGGCACTACCGCGACTGTTTCTGATACTTACCACATAACGTACCGTAGCAGATATATGTACGTTGAGATTCTTTTATTGTTTTTTATGTTTAATAAAGAATTCTCAGCAAACTTTTAATATACAGATGAACATCAGTGTGCTTATTGCGAGTTTTTTAACGTTCTCGATAGCGTAAAAGTTGAATGGGATCGTTTGCCTACGTTTGGGGCTAGGGGCGCTGTTCCAACTGCATACAAAATTGGGCTCACTTTTACGCTATCGAGAACGTTAAAAAACTCGCACTAAGCACATCAGAACGAACACAACGAAAATCTAAAAATATAAATCTAAAATCTACGCTCATCTGTCTACAAAGGCAATAAAAAAAATTATCTAAACATTAGTTAAAAGTATCGCAGGCAAAGACGAGCGATGAAATAAAACATAATTGGGTAGACTTCAATGTTTCCATTTAATTTTAAACACAAATTGAACGATTAACATATTATTATCCTCACTTGCAATACCTTTACTAACGTTTTAAAATAGAATATTTTTCGCCTTTTTGTTACTTTTATTAATGCAGTCAGATTTTAGTTTTATTTCATAAATAATATTTCTATAACATCCATTATAGTTACTTGATTTTAAATAAAATAAATCAGTTCTGTTACATGACATAATGAATAATTATTATTCTCTTTTTTTTTCTTTTTTTATGGACACCTTACCGGGACGCTAATGAAAACTGACAATAGGTCTTTAATCCATCAACCTGTAGAGCGTCCCTGAGAATTCGATAGACATCCAAGCGCTCTAAAAGAATGCCCTCCTTCGGCAGTCAGGAAAATACAAATTTAAATTGAATTATAACTAGCATGGCATCGCTTTTAATATGACAAAACGTTTTTTTTTTTTGTATATATAATTTTAAATGCCACGTACGTATGTATATGAGAAAGGATTAAAAAAATACTAGTAAATTTTTCGGTTACAAGTATTTTTCGATTTATAAAGGTATATTTTTTTGTTTTGATAATAATAGTAAATAAATCACGTGAGCTACACCTGCTCAAAACATTCTGCGATAAAAATTCCCTAATCTTCAGTTGTTCAATGACCCCGAACAATAATCACAAAGCAATAGGGTTGTTACTTTCATCTTCTGAGTCGGTTAAAACCACATTGGATTATAAAACAGGTTTAAATGGCTCAAAAGTGAAAACTTCAGAAGTAATCTATGTCGTTCCTAGCCTGTATCGTATATGTATGTCTATTTTTACTCATTTTATTGTGTTTAATTTCTGGGTAGAGGTGAATCGTTCAGAAAATTCTACGGCATTCTCTCGTAAGTGAAATACCAGATGTTTGTATTTGTCTAATTTTTTTTTTTTTTTAGTGTCATTTCTGATGTTAAATCAAGTTTCGAATTACAAAATTTCTGAATAAAATTTGGCTTCAAAAATAGAGCCCCTCTATTTTGGTCTACACAAAAAAATATGTTTTATTATTACTTTTCAACTAAAACCAGACTTTTAGCCAAAGAGAAAAAAAAAACTCCGTCAAATACATTACTTTCACGTACTTTTTATACGTATAAATTATTAATTACGCCGACGCTAAATATAATTAAATATTTCATGAAAAGAGGTGTGCAGTAGCCCTACTAAATCACAAGATATAACAGATAAACAGCTAAAAAACAGAATTCATGACCTATATTACGCATGTTTATATTTAAAACGTTTTTTAGTGTCGCGCCTCCCTGGCCGCGCGGTGGGATGCCAGATCCGTGACGTCACTCATTCAGCGATTGTCGCCACGTAGGAAAATAATCTTCAATAAATGCGGAATCACATATAAGACACGATTTCTATTAATCAAACACATTGGCGAGCTTTAATGGCTAACCAGTCATGGCAAAAATATACAAAATACACGGACTAATTACGTAAGATTTTGAAAGAAAAAAAAAAAACTAGTATATCTGTACTAATATATAAATCTACAGTGGTTTTTACGGATGTTCCGTTATAACTACTGAACCACGCATCCGATTGACTTGAAACTTGGTATCCATGTAGAAAATACATGTACTTAATGGATAGGCTAATATTTATTTGAGTGTTAGACTCCCTACACCAGTTGCGGGGGCGTTAATGATGAGAATCCTTGTGGGGGTGAGAAATAATAATGTTTATTTTAAATGCCCAGCGAAGCGGACGGGTACAGCTAGTTATATTATATTTCCCATTTGAAACATGAAATATTGTATGCGCGCCATCCTTTAAACGGCTCAAATACTATCACAAAGGAATCATGTGTTCTACTACTCTACTTTAGTTTCAATCAATAGCCGATGTTTTTTTTTTGTTTTTTTACTGCGTAAATGGTTGAATGAACTCACGGTCGGTCTGATATTAAGTGGCTACCGAAACCTATTGACACAGAATTGAACAAGACCATCCGTCACCGTTAGGAACCGATTAAGATCAGGTGTTTTCATCGCCGCTAAGTCACTAGATTAGCCTGTCGCTAATAACCTTTTATTGGTCTTATTTATAAATAGCGACCAGCCCTCGCTTCTGTTTGGGAACTGTAATTTATTATTGATGTTATACAATTTTTTTATACCGATCTGATCCTGACAGTAACAAACACAATCAAAAAAGAACGTAACGAAACAAAAAATCTAATCTTTCCTCTTCTTTTAATCATGGTTCCCTATTTTGGCGATAACGGCTTACAAATAAAAGATGCTATCAAGGGCTTTTTTTCTAGGACTATTTTAGATAAAAAAACCATTTTACATGATATACATACGCGTAATTACAATGATTTTTACGGCGGACGCCAAAATAGCTTTCAGATAGCAGATTTTTTCCTTCTTAGTTTACACTTTTCGTTATATTTTGAGTAATTCACACTATACCTTTATAAACGATAGCTTATGTGTAAGCTATATTATTGTAAAGTTTCATCAAAATCCATTCAGTAGTTTTTGCGTGAAAGAGCAACAAGCATTCTTTTTTTTTCCTACCTAAGCTAATAATAGCCTTGAGAGGCTATTTCAGCGGAACCTTAACTAGTAGGTAGACTCACGGGGCTCAAACCTGACGACGTAGCTAACACGAACCCTAGCAAGAGCCGTGCTTCGCAGAATCTACCACCGGATCGGAAACGCGACCCACTGAGAAGATCCGGCGAGAAACTCAGTGGGCTGTCTCTGAGGGTTAATTTACTCATCGAGCCCTTCGTCGCAAGCGACGGGTTCGACGAGAACGATGACCGGTGCTTGAGGTACCTAGAAGCACCGTTAGTGGATCGGGAGGATCCGTAATGATGTGTTTGGGGCGACGTCGACAATATATATAATAGTTCGCAGTCGATTACTCACATCCCCGCGTGCGACTAGTGACACCAGTTCTTTCAGCTGTTCGATGGTCCCGTTGGGCACAACCACAACACTGACGCTGAGATCTTCAGCCTTCTTCGCGAACTTGGACAGCAGTCTCTCGCCTACATCTTCGGTCACGAGGACCACACCTTCCTACAAATAAAATGCTCAATTAACTGACGAACATTCAAGATAAAAAAATGCCTTACATTAAATAGAAGATAACGAATAAAGATTTTGAATTCAGTTTTTTTTTTCTTCTAGAGTTCGATAATATGAGGGAAAATATCTAAACAGCCAATTTTAAATTTTAAGCCAGCGCTAGTGGAATCTAATGTCATAAGGTAGACCATCCAATTTACTGATGGTAGGACGTCGTGTGAGTCCGCCCGGGTAGGTACCAACGCCCTGCCTATTTCTGCCGTGAAGCAGTAATGCGTTTCGGTTTGAAGAGTGGGGCAGCCGTTGTACTGTAAAAACTGAGACCTTAGAAGTTAAGTCTCAAGGTGGGTGGTGGCATTTACGTCGTAGTTGTCTAGGGGCTCCGATAACCACTTAACAACAGGTGCGTGAGCTCGTCCACCAAATTAAGCAATAGAAAAAAAAATATATATATAACTCACAGGGGCCAAGCACTGCAGTGAACGGTGCAAAGATCGAGAAGTGGTGCCAAAGTTGAGTACCACGTCGACCGGTCCACCGCACGCGTCTGTAGTACGTTCTATCAACTGTTTCTCATACAAATCTTCGTTCCATTGCACGACGTTGACCCTATGAAAAAAGGTAACTTTTTTTTAACATCTGTACGGAAAACCTCTCGGCCTCCTTGACCGAACGGCTACCGAAGACCATAGATATCATAATATAGACGATGACCACATTAAAATGGCCGCGTAAGATCGCAGTTGCATTAGATTAATAGATGACGACGTTCAGAGCTGAGCATACCAGCCCGTGTAGATTGAAAACACGCCTTACCGGTGGTCAAAATACATGCATAGCAGCAATAAAGGAAGTGATAGACGACGAAGAGTTCTCTGTAGAATTAATTAGTTTAAGGATATCGCAAACCCGTATAATTTGAGGCATATCAATGACTAATAACATCGCTGTTAATACAGGTAAAAATAAACATATAATTATCCTGATTCTCGTCAGTGACGATACGCGTGAAAGTTTGTAAACCCTAAATTATTTTTAGTTATTCCAAACTGACAAGGTATTTGAAAAAAAAATTCATTCACGGAAATTAATGTGAGAAAAAGCTCCCAACATTTTAAAAGACAATAGGTAGGGAATGATTATTAAAAGCATGAATGTAACCGAGAAATGTTGAGTTACTGCCAATTCGTGAGACGTGGGTTTGAATCTTAAATCACGTAAGCGCTAACAACGTAGTTAAAAATGGGGTGATCTGTGTACATTTTGGTCTTCAACTTTTGGCAGCATTCACAAATATATATAGCATTTTGCTTAGTTAGGTTATATATTAAATAGTATTTAAAATATGTCTCATGTATGATTATGTATTAAGATAATAAAAATCTTAACTCACTCTTCACACTCCTTCGCCAATAAAAATCCTTCATCCTTAAGCGTAGCTACAGCTATACTAATGCGATCATTGTACTCTTCGCGCTTGAAATAGTACGTGGCAAGGCGTAGAGCCCACAAGGCTAAGCCTCCAGTTCCTACAATTAGGACAGTCGTTTTGTCCTTCTTTGCAGGTCCTTCTAAAGCCACCTTTAAACATTCACTGGCCGATACTACTGTATTCATGGCCAACAAAGCGCCAGTCGGTAGCATAGCGGCTATGCTTAATGGCAATTGATCCGGTATCGGCACCAAACATTTGAAGTCGGGCACCACTATATATTCGGCATAACCATGCGGTACCCCTTCGTAAGGGTACAGAACGATTCTTGCTCCTTCCTTGAGTTCATCAGTACGTTCGGCAGCCTTTCCTATGGCGTCAATAATGCCCGCAACTTCATAGCCAGGGAATAACGCACCGTCTCTTATGCCGATATGGGCGGGAATCGTGGTATGAGCGTAACCATCCATCTCCCCAGTAAAGCTGCCTATGGAAGACACAGAAGAAGTACTGCACACTGAAGTCGATCTTGTTCTGTTAGCCCGGTAACACGCTCCAGCGTACACAACTCTAATCCTAGCTCCGTAGAGGGGCACGTCTGGTACTGGCACGTCAAAGCTAAAGACACATTCCTTTATGGTCGGTCCGGGAGACTCGATCGACACTTGTTTGCACAATTTGCTCATCTTGCGGCTATTTCTCGATGATTCCGTTTCAAGTGACTGGGAACAAAAAATCGGATTATAATTTTACCCATGTAAATTTCTGTAAATGTCCTATGAAAGTAATTCTCTATAAATTAATAGTTTTTTTGTTTTTAAATAACAAAATTATGATGAGATTCGAATGGATTTCTTGTTAAAACCAAATCAATTACTCATAATATAAACATTCCTAGTTTAACAATATGACCTTAAGTTTTAATTTAGGGAAATCGAATATGTGTATCTATTCATTTTAAGAACCTACTTAGGAAACATAAAATGTACAGAAGAGAATAACACTGGGATCGTCATAAAAATTACCAGAGCACTTCCTTAATAGAATTACCTGTGGATATGGGCAACATGCTACGTTTAAGCCTATCCACCCAGAGACATGAGGTTAAGTGGCAGTTGTATTGGCTAATTGCTATCCTAGCTTTCGAAACAGAACACATAATTGCCACACTGCATTTAATTTGTTTCTAAATACTGATGGGGAGATTTTACAGGTATATAATATAATGAGTTGATTCAATTCTGGATTATCCTGCTACATACATAGCCTGCAACTATATAATATATATTTAAATGCACCAGGTGTGGCTTTCAGACCATTATATTTTATATCTTTTTACCCTCATGTTTCCGTAAACACAGATGACTATAATCTATAAGTAGCTAATACAGGACACTACTAAATAATGGAACTCATCTGCATCTACTCTGAATCAAAAGAAATAATTCATAGGAAATACGTGGCAGGGAACTCTAAGAATTAAAAGACATGCAAGTTACCTCTGTACACTGAATCATTGAGCAATCATCTGCAAATTGCTCAAAATGAAAATAATTGTACAGATTCTGGCCTATTCAGGTCTCAATGTAATAAAGACAAATATAATTTTAACCAATTTCACCTTGCAAGTATCAGTTCTAATTAGACATTTAGGGTTTGTTTGTAGATTTATTTTTTAAAGGGAAGGCATGTGAAAAACCTCCCAGCTCACCTGGTGTTAAGTGATTACCGGGGGCCTATAGACTTCAACAGTGAAAATATCATCATCCACCTTGACCACATGAGTTCTAAAGTGTCAGTTTTAGAGTAAAATGGCTGCACCACCCTTCAAACCAGAGCACATTACTGCAGCAGAAATAGGCAAAGTGGTCATACTTACCTGTCACAAGATGCCTATCATCAGTAAATACACAAATTCAAATTTTTCGAGGTACATACTATATTTAATTCACAGTGTTATTTATTCACCATGAAAGTCATTCATGTTATTTCAATACAAAAATGGGTACCGCTCGCAGGTTTTTAACGTCAGCATAGTCACGTGACTCAATAGGAATGTAACATGTGTGTTATCTTCTGGGCCACAATGACTAATCTTACATTACTTAGTGCTTCAAATGTTATACCAGACTTCACTTCAGATTATTTATAAAAATAATTATTAGAAGAACTTTAGTATGATAAATTAGTATATGAATATTAAAGTTTATATAACACAATTTTAGTATTAGTTATAAAAAGAATCATTAGTTTTTAAATACATGTAATTCATAAGATACTAAGCTGTACACAAATTGGCAAGAAACAAGAACCATCAATTATTGACTTAACAATTAAGAGAAACTCAATAATTGATATAGCAATTTATGTATAACTTCTTCCTAATGGGAAATACTATATTTAGTTTTCATAATTATATATTAATAGTTGGTCCATAATGTAAGACAATCATAGTGTACAGATGCATTATCATATTATTTGGACACAAACAAAGGGCAGACAACTCAGTAGTGGGAACAAAGGACAGATATAGTCAAATAAGATTTATTTATAACAACACAAATTCACACAGGACTACTAATTGTAAAATTACTGTTATAGGCACAAGCGCCAGATTAATATTGAAGTCTGTACACTTGGTATGTGTGTATTTCCATTAAAGTAAAAATAGTATGGAGCAAACTGTGATAGCACATTCATCATGGTATGTTATGAATCTCGTAAGCAAACAAGAGTAGGACAATAATAAACACGTATGATGCACTCAGTGATCACACCGCCGCTGCCTGACCACGGTCCGCGTCTTAGAATTACAAAGGTATATAAAGTTCGCTCTGACCTTCCTGTGTCCGAAGGTCAGAAGGAATGTAAAAAAAAACAATACCACCACACAAAGGACTACCTATGTTTAATCAAGGATCAATGCTAGCGGTGTCGCGTTTTGATTTAATATCATAAAAATATTTCACATGGAAAAAAAAAGTGTGGCTTTAATTTGTTTTAAGATAAAAATTTATAAAACGCTGTCTCTAATAACAAATAATTGGAAATTCTACGACTTTACCTGATTATTCAATAAGCAACGAAATCACTGATCAACGCGACGTTTGTCGCCGCGGGATAATTTTTAAATACAAGTTTTATTTTATTTACACGATTAAATGACAGTCTCATGACGTCACTGCCGTTCCGTGCACAAATCTATTTCACAATTTTAACAAATAAAAAGGAACTCATTCTTTGTCATTTTAAACAATACCGTAAAACAGAACGTGTTTATATTGGCAATACGACAAAGCTCCGAATTTTCCCTACTATTTGTTTTAATTTAACATATATTTAATTTAACGTACATTTTGAATCTTCAACATGGTCAGCGTCTGTAAACAATTTTTTTTATCCTCAAATGAACATAGTTCTTCATAGGTCGATTCACGATAACGATACGTACAACTGCTACATGTATAAACTGAAAACTTACTGAGACACTTTTAAATTTTCGGCCCTAGATAATCCTTTCTAGACACACCTTGAGCTTAATTTTTTTAAGCAGTTGTTAATATTTTTGGAATTCTAGAAGGATGAAACTGAGATGTCAGTTTTCATGCCAGAACTTCTTCACCATAATATGCTATATTTTTCAAAACATGCTTGATTTTCAAAATATTAAAGCTGTTCCAATTGACAAGATCTTTAAAATTATAAGAAACTAACGGCCCACTTAAAGTGAAACCCAAATTCTAAGAAAATATAGGATAGTGAATAAGCATTTTCTTTTAAGAGGAATTCATTTTTCTCTTATGTATCCATTAATTTTTCACGTTAATGTGAATGTCGTAATTAAAATTACATTAAAGAAATTAAAATTATTTACGACTTTCTTAAAATTAATTCTTCATGTCTAAAATCAAGTAGCGTGCTCTATTTACTTACAAAGCGATTCGTGATTCCAAACCATGTTGTAGCTAAAATTGAAGCTACCGCTATTTAAGTTTAGCGATTGATTTTGACATTTTCGCTCATGTATTAAAATCGCAATCAATAATATTACGGTTTTACATAACAATAAAACCGATATTATGTGCCGAGAAGGAAAACATACAGCATTGTATTATGAAGAAACAGTGTGTACTTAGCTTAGATTCCTTGTCTATGTCCAACCATAGACAGTCAATTTAGTTCCATCTTTAGCCGCTAGGTGCTGCCAGCAAGTATAAAGGGAGCGCAGCCATCTTTGATCTTCATAGTCTTCACCAGGAAGAACTTCCTGCAATGCTGTATGTTTTCCTTCTCGGCACATAATATCGGTTTTATTGTTATGTAAAACCGTAATATTGATGTGCCTTTGGAAAACATACAGCATTGTATTATGAAGACGTGTTTGTTATCTGCTGGTGAAATTATTAAGCACAACGCTATGATGAAATAGGTAAAGCCATAATAAAATTATGAAGCGCAATGATAATGTTCATAATTTATATAATTATTAAATCGAAAAAACAGTTGTTAACTTCCATGTTAATTCAATAATTAAAAAATATTTATAAGTTTGTAATAAACATTTTATCTTGTATATACAAGAAAATGTATAAATTGTATAAATGATGTATATACATCATGTAGAAGTAAATGTGTTGAAAAAAAGAATCGTGAGGATCTTTACGAAGCTCTATTATTCGGCAATAATTATTGTAAACGTTTGGATGATTTGCAATTGCCTCTAGAAAGTATTTCGTCCATTGGTTCATTATCAATCCATCTCAGAGGCTACTGCTGATCTACAACTTCTTAGAGATGCGTTGATGCCATTACCTCGTAAGGTTGAACGAAGACCAGTTTCCAATTACAGTACGGGATGCCGCTTTTGTGACAACACACATAGTTAGAAAAAAGTCCTTACGAATCTTACCGGGCATGTCTTTAGTTTCATGTTTAGAAAGCACTTATGCAGATTATTGACGAAAATGGATTTCAATTTTAGACCCAAAGACTGGTATCAGAAAGATGTTTTTCTCTGTTATCAAAGAAACTGTCTTTAGAAATGTTGAGCAAAGTAAGGTCATTAACTCTGCGTCCCGTAGCCAGCAACATGGTTGTTGGTGTCCTTCAAGCTACATTGAGGCGTGATGTGGTGGCTGGGTTTGAAGAAAACCAGTTTAGAACTATTCTCGGATCTCATGTGAATGGGACTACACTTAGTAAAATTGTAATAAGTAGTTGAATTTTGTTTAGCTATTCCGATGGCTTTTTTAAAATAGCAATTTTTATTAGAGAGCTTGAGAATGTTTGCTGTCCTACATGTATTTCGCCCACAGAAAGTCGACAGCGCTGCTTTATGATGCAGAAGGATTGTTTTATAGGCAAAATTTTCTTTTTGGAAAAGAAGAAAGAATTTGGCAACATCTGCAGACTTAGGATCAATTTTAAAACTGTAGCACCATATGCACCATCTTCTAGTTGCTGGTAAGTATGCTGACAAAGTGGATTGACACCAGCTAATTTTCAATAAATCTTCTCCTGTTTAGACCAGTCTATTATTTGTACAACCTCCCCCCCCCCTTTAAACTTTCAGGGTTAATGTTTAACCTGTGGAGGAGGCAGGTTTTGGATTTCGTGCGAGTTATCTAGCGTTCGGGATCTGAGGGCTTGGAAACCCAAATGCTTTCGCTCAGTCTGGGAACACTACCAGGTAGGTTCCCTAGACACTGTTGAAGTGAGTCAGTACTTTGGGGAGAAGGTTGAGAGGAGGAATTCTCCATGCTAGTTGCATCCTCTACGGTCTGCTGAAGGTATCCAATCTTGGTCGGCGAATGGGTTTATATCCGGATGACCCCACTTTCGAAAAACTTTTGTGGTCACTTGTGGTAAAAAGTGCCATTTCGCAGGTTGATTTCCTCGTGATAGCCTGTCGGCTATGATGTTGTATCTCCCCGAGAGATAAGCTGACAGTTATCTTGAACTTATCGCTTAGGTTTAAAAATCGAAAGGTCAACGTTAGTGAAATACTTTCAGATTCATTTTGATTGTCACTACCATTGCAAATAGCTCTTTTGTGGGTGAGCCGTTTCTGTTGTTGAGCTGACCATAGACAGGACGTTAATATTTTGTCTAATTGTAACCCCTACCCATGTCCGAAGCTTCCGTTGCCAGGAAATGGTTGGTTTTGGGTCTCGGCAATGTTTGACATGTGGCTCCGCGTCAGCACTGCATTTGTAACCCCTACACATGTCCGAAGCTTCCGTTGCCAGGAAATGGTTGGTTTTGTGTATCGGCAATGTCTAACATGTGGCTCCGCGTCAGCACTGCATTTAATTGTTAACACATGCAGGATGGCCTGTTTTTTACCCCTTTTCTTGAAACTTCGCAAGAAAATTTGCAAGTTAGCATAGATTGATGTAATTCCGTCAGAGTTTGAGCTAGGATGTTGTTGAGTGGCCACTTCATTTCTCGCAATTTTCCATCGAATCCCTAGACATGTCATCTCTTGAACCAGTGTACTAATTGATTTTTTGTAAGGCTGACTTGGCAGCCCAAATAATCCAAGAGCTTTACAGCTTATGTGGCCTGAAGACTCAACTTGGACTTCTTTTGATGGACCTGGTGGGATTTGCGTAGGTGGGATAACACTCAACATCCCTTTGCACGCAATGTTTCCGCGACCGAGCATGCTATGCAAGCAAAAAAGGTGTATTTGTCTTCATGGACCAAGAAAAAGTCGCGTAGGTAGGTTAACATTTGACTTCCCTATGTACGTAAGGTCTTCGCGACCGAGCATGCTATGGGAGCAAAAACGTTTATTTGTCTTGGTGAAACAAGATCATGTCGTGTAAGTAAGCTAGCACTTCGATTTTGCACGCAATGCCTCCGCGACCGAGCATGCTGTGGAAGCAAAAAGGTGTATTTGTCTTCAAGGACCAAGAGAAAGTCGCGTAGGTACGTTAACATTTGACTTCCCTATGTACGCAAGGTCTCCGCGACCGAGCATGCTATGGGAACAAAAACGTTTATTTGTCTTGGTGAAACAAGATTAAGTCGTGTAGGTAAGCTAGCACTCGACTTTGCACGCAATATCTCCGCGACCGAGCGACCGAGCACCCTATATAATGGAAATTGACATGCCAGCCCAGATAATCCAAAACCTTCACAGCTTCTGCAGCCTGAAGTTTCAACTTGGATTTGTTTTGGTCGACCAAAAGGAAGTCGTCTAGGTAGACTAGCACTCGAGTTCCTTTTGCACGCAAGGTCTCTGCGACCCAGCATGTTATGGAAGCAAAAAAGGTTAATCCAAAAGCTTCACAGCTTCTGCAGCCTGAAGTTTCAACTTGGATTTGTCTTGGTCGACCAAAAAGGAAGTCGTCTAGTAGACACTAGCACTCGAGTTCCCTTTGCACGCAAGGTCTCTGCGACCCGCATGTTATAGAAGCAAAAAGGTGTGGCTCTGAAGCCAGACCGAAGGGTAGGCATGTCATTTCATACTAACTCATAAGAAGGTACCGATTCCTTCCTGGAGGTACTGATACTGGTACCTTGGTACTGATCCTCAAGAAGTATCGACGAAATTTTGCGACTGATACTAGAAAAATATTCCTGAGAAATGTTCAATTCTATCATCCAGTCCCCTGGGTGGAGAAAGTTTGGTACCTAGGTGTCCGAAAACAGTTAGGTGTTTTATCTTTACGACCTTGTTCAACTCTCGAAGATCCAAAATTGGACGCATTGATCCGTCGCTTTTCTTCCGCAGAAAAAGGTAGTTTTTTTTTTTTTTCTTTTTTTTACGGTATTTGGTAACCATACATGGTTTACAAATTATTACAATTTTGGTGGCACTCAGTGCCTCCCGTCGGTGTCTTCAATTGCCCCCCTCTGGATTGTGCCAGATGTTACAGACTATGATTGTTTATAATGTTTGGCTTACCTTTTGTACGAGATCGTGACAAATAGGATTGTAGCCCTCCGAGGGACTGAATAGATTTCAATTTACTATTATCAAACAAAAATTCCTCAATGAGTGGTGCGTTGGCAACAGGATACTTTGTTAGAGACCACGGAAATTAAACTTTGACGTCTTATTTCTATACATACGGCCCTTTTTTCCGTATACAATTTAAAACGCTTTTTACGGGTAACTTGTACGACGGAGACGATTTGTCAAAGTTTTCAGTAATTATGTTACAAAGATTATTAGTTTAAATCTGTTGTGTTTTTGTCAAAATTTCCGTATTGACGAGATCAATTTGTTTACAACAATTTTCGTTACATTCAATTGTTACACACAGTTGATGCATTATTAGATTTACAACGTCACTGACCTGGTGGGATAACGAGCCGATTCGAAGATCGACCGTTACCTTTGAATCCCGTCGTTTCTTACGCAGAGACTCCTTTTGTTCTTTTTCGCTTGACGAGCTGTTCGAACGCGAGGCGTCTCCATCGCGTCTCGCCTGGACATCTTCCCTCTCGGAAATTATGGAGCTTGACTCAACATCACCTCCAACAGATGACGCGTGATTCATGGCGTCCGATGATAGGATTGGTAAATAATACTCGTAATGATTGCAAAATAACACTCATAGAAACACAAAATAAATATTTTTTGCAATTAATAAGAAGTCGAATAAATATTTGTGGACTTGCGACTTCACAGTACGAAAGTACACAACGCTATGAAGATCAAAGATGGCTGCGCTCCCTTTATACTTGCTGGCAGCACCTAGCGGCTAAAGATGGAACTAAATTGACTGTCTATGGTTGGACATAGACAAGGAATCTAAGCTAAGTACACACTGTTTCTTCATAATACAATGCTGTATGTTTTCCAAAGGCACATCAACATAGTATTTGTGTTTGAGGAAATACTTATTAGTCGTATTCAAGTAGCTCTAAGAAGATTGGAAAATTACTCGACAGCATCACGAAACTGAAAGCTTACGAGTTGTTAATGGCTTATAATCGAAGAAAATTGATTTTATTCAGATCTGGCAACCCTCATCGGCGTGGGTCGCGGTGCGTATTTTGTTAGCGTGGGTTGATTGTTTTATTTTAGATTTTTATCAATAATTTCTCATGGAAAATAGTTCTGCAGAAGTGAAATAAAATTACGGGACGCATTATGGGTAAGTTTTGAGTTTCGAAGTTAATTTGACGCTTATATGCGAACTGTTGTATTGTTATTGATTGATGACATACCACTCGGGAGTTCTCATCCGTAGCTATGTTTTTTTTCTTTATTATTTGTGCAGGTGTTACGAAATGTATTTAGTATTTTGGATGCAATGCGATCCTTTTACGCCTAGCGATATCTTTATCCCTGATCTACTTTTTTATAGCTTTCAAAACCGTATCACTCAGACTCCTTGCTTCTTTTTGTTACCACAGATCCATAAAGCACTGGAGGTAACTATTCCAGGGCAAAAGGATGTGTGTTGAATTCAAACTAATCGGATAATCTCTAAGTTTCTGCTGTCACTTCTTGTTTAATTAATGTAAACTTTAAATTAAACTGAAATAGCTACATACATACTGCACTTTATTTGTTTAGTACTCATCCTCACTTAATAATTTGGTAGAGTTAGCACTTAAATCTACTATAATGTAAATTTTATATTAACCAAAACATAACATCATCAAATTTAAAACAAACATTTTATTATGTAAACAACAGGTGATCTAGGATAATATTTTTAAAATATGAATATTGATAACACTTTTAACAACGTTCATTAATTTATGGGTACTCACTTTTGTAGTTAAAGTTTGATTTCCTTTTAAATTTTTTTGTTACTATATTCTTATTCTCTAAATTTTATTTTACTATCAAATTGCAATTTTATATTACATTAATTAAATAAGGGGTTTTATAGTAGCCTTATGGTTTTATGTAGGTGGCGATATTAACACTGCCTAGACTATTGATTTCAGTAACCACCTACAACCAAATCAGGTGGGAGTTCCCTTAAGGGTGTGTTTCATCTGTCCAATGAAAAATAAAAGTTCTAAAATGAAAACATTGAATAAAACTACAATGCCATTCAATTCATATTAGTCAAATTTTGAGTTCAATAAATCTTAAAATTTATACCAGATTAACCCCTGAAGGCTGACGCACCTAAATATAGAAATATACAAAACACTTGAATGAGTTATCCAGTGTATTTGCATTACAAAACTATGGAACCGTTAACAGAGACTGAAATCATTCAGATTATCTCAGAAGATACATCGAAACATATCTCTTTGTTATAACAGCTTGTTTGTAGTTGATTCTTCAGTTTGCCTTTCAATATTGTATTGTATCTAAAAATCAATTGTTTGCTAATATGTTTAAAAATAAATAGGTGAGTTTTTTTTGCAATGCATATTTATTTTGCTTAAATATTTTGTAAGGTGAAAAAGTTTTGGGAATACACTCTTCTGAGTCTGTTCTATAGAGGTTTGATCTATTCTAAACCAGTAATAAATGTTACAGTGTATATTTATCTAGTACAGTAGTGATATTTTTATAATCTTATTACTACCAAAGTGGCTACTACTATTCACTGGGTAGGCTGCAATGCATGAAGTTTAAAACTAAATCATGTGTAAAATTAAATATGTATTTCTTTAAAATCTACCCCAGTTACGGAATAACTCGCATTTAAGCAGAAAATGCAAAAGTAACAAACTAGGCTACTAGTATGAAAGTAATCATGTTTTTTTTTGTCATAAAATGCAGGCATGCCTTGGTTATCTGTTATCAGAATTGCCTCTAAATATGTTTCAATTTACTGTCTACAACTATGCTCGCTATCGACTGATAATTTAATTAACAATCCTAATATCAATATTTATTGTTTAATAAATTTCCTGAACTATGAGCTGAGATGGATTTATTCAAGTATAATTGTTGCCCAAGCTGTACTCCACCAAAAGTCTATTGTTATTTAGTTAGTAGCTTATGTCAAGTTTGTTAATCCAGTATTCTCCTTCTTATCGATTTGCATGGCTTTCAAGTTTGGCCATTTAATTTTTACAATACTTAATTATTTCCTCTCCGATTTCCACTCAACTAGAAAACTAGATAAATTGTAGTCAAGTCAGAAAAAATTGTAAATTTTTTATTTTCAGGTGAACCAAAATATCAATGAACATATACTACATATCAATAGTTAGAATTTATGAAGTAAATGTAGGGTTTTTAAGTCATTGTGCACCAAAGTTTTGGCATGCACGGTGCATTTATATTGAGCGATATGCCGGTGTTAAAATCTCACATGCAGAATCCCATACCAATTCTTCTGCTGAAATATATTATTTAAGAAATTTTCACAAATTACTACCATGGCGAAGGAATAATATCATTACAAACAAAACAAAATTTAATTGAATTCTAAAATTAAAAATGTATTTTCCTTTCTAGATTATTCAAATTATTATGATCACAATTACCTAGGTGGCACAGTATCTCATCAGGTGTACATTCATGTGACTAGCTGTATTATATAAATCAAAAGTATATTAGTCTGATTATCAAAGTGCAGCAACACTAATTTGGTGACTTTGTGTCATTTGTCACTGAGTATTTATTTAAATATTATTAAATTTTTATTAGTAAAATATTGAATAATTCTTAAATTAATATTTTAGTAACCGTGTAAAAGGAACCTATATGCATTAAATGTAAAAAAAAAATTGACAGCAAATTATAATCTGAAACTTTGTAACATTGCCCAGTCCTGAATGTGCGATATTAGTTATAAAATTGCGTCATATGATATAAGATACTTTCTTTATCACCATTTAGAATTATTAATACATATTTTGCATTTGTGTCAGGAAATGATATAAGCAAAACCTACATATCTTCTGGAGTGAAATATTAAACTGTATGTAATTGAAGACCCTCTTATGCTTTATTTCTGAGTAATGGAAGTTGTTTGTGTTAAAATGTGTTGAAACCATTTTATGTTAACTTATTACGTAAATAATAAATAAATAACTCTGAAAAAATCAAGCATTCTATTAGAGACTGACAAACATATACATTTAAATATACATATATAGATAATAGACTCACAGACAAAAAGCAAACAAACCTGTTCATCACACGAATGCTATCCAATGTGGGAATCGAACCTACGACTCTTGGCGCAACAGTCACAGGGGCTAACTACTGCACCATCGAGTCAGTCAGAGTTATATTCTATATGAGCTTACTACCCACATTAAGCCAATACTTACAGGAGTCTAAGGCTATTAAACAGCTATCGCCGACTCTCATCCCATGAGCGGAGAGGACGATCATCTATGCAATAAAAAAATTGAAATATTAGATTGAACTCTCACTTACAATGAAATAACAGATATCTCTTTTTTCGGACCATAAGACTTTATTAAAACAAGGCTTGCAGATTCACGAATCCCCACACAAGTGTTTATGATGAAATTTTGAAGGAAGAAGAGAAAGTTGGGTAGGAAAAATTACATATTTTGCTACCCAATTGTTGGTAGCCGCTGTGGGTTACTTCAGCTTCGCGGGTAGGGTCACGGAGCTGGCAGTGCTTAGCTGAATATAGCACAGGGTCGGAATTGCGAGCCATTGAGAAGATCCTCGTCGGCCTGCAATGGCAATTAAAAACGAAAATTTTCGTCTCGAGGCTTATGGCGCCGTAAGCATGCTGTGGTATCTATTAACTTTGAAAATCATCTAATGTTAATAAAACTAATAAGTTTACACATCAAATTGAAAAATAAATATTCAGGCTTGTAGAAAAACGTCGATCACCTGAATGTGTGGTTACTTTGTCAGTAAACAATAAAGAGAGTGGAGTTTTAAGGTACCGTCATAACATTTTATTATATCTGCCGAGACATTCTTACAAAAAAAAATAAGCAAGGTGGCAAACCACGGCTTAAACATTGTATTTTATTACGAAGTTGTAATAACAAGTCCTTGATCGTAGATTTCCTGGTCAGAGTACTCCGGAAATCGAACTATAATAGGATCTCTCTCGCGTGGCGGTCCCATTCCCTCGTCTTGCTTAGCTGTAATCATTTTCAATTCAAATCGTCTTCACTGTCTTATTTATGAAAATAATTGAATTGTTAGGTTAAAAGTTTTTAATTTTTTAATTTTGTCTGCTTATTCTGCACGAGTGAACTAGTTTACGGGTCTACAGGTATTAAGTGCTTAACAAAGTACAACAAAGCTACCTATCATGAAGCAGGTATGCGGCTCAATTATAGTATTACACTTGTCTCATTCTTTAAACACTACAGGGTAGTAGTATATCTCGCTACCCGTGCGGGATCTCAACACCCCGTACCACCATCTTAATACCTAATATACTATAATATAATTATTCATAACATAAAAGTTTGTCAATTATCTAGATAATGAAAAATATCTATATGACTCGTAAGAATGCTAGGTTCGTAAGTACAAAAAATAAATAAAGAAGCGGTGCGGCAAACATGTAGCAAATATAATATCTTGGTCATAATTGAGGGAAAAACTAAAGACTTGTCATGATATATCAAATGTTTTATTATTGGTATCGCAGCGGCGCGGGCTGTGGTCTATAAAACTATTATATAAAACTAGTCTCCCAAAGAATTAAATGTGTGTAGAGGCCGAAAAGTGTATAGACTGCCTTCACGGTAACTACATTCCCGATCTTGCGGACCGAATGGTAAACAGTCGACGTCGCCCTAAACACGTCATTTCGGATCCTTCCGATCCACTAACAGTGCTTTTAGGTACCCTAAGCACCGGTCATCGTTCTTGTCGAACCCTTACGACGAAGGACTCTGCAGTTAAATTAACCCAGACACAGCCCACTGAGTTTCTCACCGGATCTTCTCAGTGGGTCGCTTTTCCGATCCGGTGGTAGATTCTGCGAAGCACAGCTCTTGCTAGGGTTCATGTGAGCATCAACGTCAGGTTTGAGTCCCGCGAGCTCACCTACTAGTTCAGTAAATCTAGAATAACTCTTCGAGGTTACTAGAATAGGTAGGAAAAAAAATGCCTTCCTTGGACACATTCTTAAACTTATCGGAGTAGAGAATTACCTTTCCGAGTAGTATCCTTTGCTATCTAAGACATCACCTCTTCACAGTAGCTACAAAGAGAATTAGCGTCGAGGTGTAGCTTGTTTGTGCCTGTACCCTCGCAATTTAGTGCCCCATTAGAAATTATTAGGAAGCATGTATTAGGAATCTTAGCCTATATTGAGAGCTTCTTCTTCGTACACACAATGCTATCGCTGTAACTCACCACTTGTCTGTTAACGTCTCAAAACATGAGGCTACCTATGACTACCACATGCGATCATGCGAGGGGGAGCGCTGTATGTTTTATCCATAATATTATCTGTGAAATAAATGAGAATTATCCATTTTTTGTCGTTCCGAGTTTTATAATCGCATCATCGTTGCAGTTTTATGTAAGTAGGTATCGATATGACGTCAATAAGCTCCTGGCGTTCCTACAGCAGTAACGTTTCCCCTCTCGACCGTAACTAACGTGCAATAAGAGACTTATTCGCTGCAGAATTTCTAGTACGTATAATATTATAATAATAATCAACGTTATTTTGTAGATATTAACTTGAAAGACGTTGGGGACGGGCGTCAGACACGAACTAGATCTCTATGCTAATCCTGTATAATTTGCACGAAGATGCTTGCAATCTATTAGTGCATCCCGTTGTGTCTAGTTTAATTAATTAATTAATTAATTTAGAAATAATACCAAAGAAAGTAATATCAATCACACAATCTTCGACAATCGGCGTCCCGATTTTAAAGTATAATTTAATTTTTGTTTTTTATTTTATTTTTCATTGCGTGGCTCCGCGAATATGTAACGTTTTTGTAAATGTGCTTTGATCAGTTTTTGTTTTTATTTTGTTATATTATTCCACGTTTCTATCATATTATTCTCTTTTAATCTAGTAAAAACATTTTTATATATCATGTAACTTATCTTTGTTTCAGTAAAAGACTGGGCCAGAAGACAAAACAGAACTTAATATATAACTGTAAGTATGACATTTTAAGTTTTATCAGAGGTCTTTTTTTTTTCTTTTTTTTCCTTTTTTTTTTCGGGCCGGGGCCGCCCCTCCTTCGAGGTCACCGCGCCTAGGGAGCGCGCGGGGTATGTGGAACTTGACGATCTGCAACGTGTTGGGAGCAGACAGCGGACCCTAGGAATTTTAGGGCCCATCCACTAAAGGACTCCTCGCACTCTTACATCCGACGTCCGATCTCCGTCCGTGACTTTAATAACTATTATAGAAAATTAATCGGTTTTTTCAATCGTTTATGTTTAATAAAAAAAAAATTATTTAACCACAAGGGACAAATTATGTTTACAAATTTATTGTTGAAAAAAAACATGATGATTGTCGCCTCTGTAACCACGTTTTACCTAGCTAAGATCCTATTTTTTGTTGGTAGGACTAGGGCTTACTTCACCAAATGCTGAGTAATGACGACTATTTCCCTCTCAAATTAGCATTTATTTTACTTCTCTAACTTATTTAACATTAAGATTATTTAATATGAGTAATATTAAAAATCTTAAACTGACAATCTCGAACTGTGCTAATTTTTGATTAATTCGTGAATTTACAATTAAATCTGATAAAATAACAATTTTATTCGTTTCATTACTGGTGGTAGGACCTCTTGTGAGTTTTTACTAGTGGTAGGACCTCTTGTGAGTCCGCGCAGGTAGGTACCACCACTCTGCTTATGTCTGCCGTGAAGCAGTAATGCGTTTCGGTTTGAAGGGTAGAGCAGCCGTTGTAACTATACTTGAGACCTTAGAACTTAATCTCAAGATGGGTGGCGCATTTACGTTGTAGATGTCTATGGGCTCCAGTAAACACTTAACACCAGGTGGGCTGTGAGCTCGTCCACCCATCTAAGCAATAAATAAAAAAATCGACAGTGACGGCTCATCCTCTATGTTTACCGTTGTCTATTACACGTTTCAAGCGACCATGCATTATTATTGAATAATAACTAATTTAAACTCTATTTGACTTTGTTGTGATTGTCGCCAAATGTATGAGTTGAAACAACTAGGTCACTAACACTAAGATGTTCAGAAAACATACAAACGTTTACACATTATAATATTGTATATATAAATCTACAGGGGTTTTTCCGGATGTTCCGTTATAACTACTGAACCACGCATCCGATTGACTTGAAACTTGGTATCCATGTAGAAAATACATGTACTTAATGGTTAGGCTAATATTTATTTGAGTGTTGGACTCCCTACACTAATTGTGGGGGCGTTAATGATGAGAATCTTTGTGGGAGTGAGAAATAATAATGTTAATTTTAAATGTCCAGCGAAGCGGACGGGGGTACAGCTAGTGTTTATATAAATCTACAGTAGTTTTTACGGATGTTCCGTTATAACTACTGAACCACGCATCCGATTGACTTGAAACTTGGTATGCATGTAGAAAATACATGTAATTAATGGATAGGTTAGTTATAATATGTATTTATTTGCTCCCGTTCAAGGTACGCAGTGAATAGCACCATGTCGCAACAGTACAGCCTGCGATGGAACAACCACCAGCCTAACTTCATATCCATGTTTACGACTCTTCTAAACACGCAGACTCTGGTGGACGTGACCCTCGCTGCTGAAGGGAAGCACCTGCAGGCACACAAGGTAGTGCTGTCGGCATGCAGCACATACTTTCAGGTGAGGATTAAGCTTAGTTGTTTGTATATTTGAACAACGTGATATTAAATCGATTTTAATATCTTACGGCTGAAATATATATACCTACATACATAAATAGTTTCGAATCTAATAATTAGAAGTCGTATGGTTTAATACGGACAATAAATAAAAATATGTATCATCTATTTTAACTTACTACCAGTTTACTACCAGCTCAGCCCAGCCCTACCGGGTGGGTAGAGAGCTCGCATTACCGAGAGCCACTCACGATCTTAAACCTAAAGAGCGGGATACTAAGTATTTAGGTGCCACGAAGACTGGTCTAATCAACCGTACTCGTCGAACTCGACAGAGGTCGACGTGCAACTTAATCCATGCATCAGCCCGCTGAGTTTCTCGCTTAATCTCCTCAGCGGGTCGCGATTTCGATCCGGTAGTAGATTCATTCGCGAAGCAATTGCTCTTGAGTTCTTAGGTCTCCTTCGGAGGCGCTCGGGCAGTTGTTAGCAAATCCCACCCCTCCTGGCTAAGCCTTTGCTCGCTCACCTGTCCTGCTGAAACTGGAAAGGCCTCCAGACCACCAGTAATCTTTCAACCATAAAAAAAAACTGGTCTAATCACCTCAAAGTGAGCGGCGATATTCACTTTATATGGTCCATGTCCTTTGGGAACCGCTTGACGAGGTATGACGATATGCATTCACAGTGGTTACGCCGATTTGTCTTTTGTGTTTGTGTCCCTTTCTAATGAATCCGACAGCTTTTACACAATAAAAATAAGATTTTGTTCTTTTATCGGTAATCAGATTAGGGCGTCTGTGGACTTCAATTACCACTTCATACCAAGTATACCGTGAACTCTTCTGCTCGTTAAACAACCTATTTGATTACATTGAATTGTCATGAATTCGGCGCTAATTTCGTGAATTCGAATTAGCTTTAGGTTATTGGACAATTAAAAAAATTAAGAACCTATAACTTTTTGAAGATTTTTTTTTATTGCTGAGATGGGTGGACGAGCTCACCGCCCACCTGGTGTTAAGTGGTTACTGGAGTTCATACACATCTACAACACCATGCCGCCACCCACCTTGAGATATGAGTTCTAACGTCTCAGTATAGTTAGAACGGCTGCACCACCCTTCAAACCGAAACGCATTACTTCTTCACGGCAGAAATAGACAGGGTGGTGGTACCTTACGGGCTCACAAGAGGTCCTACCACCAGCGAAAATTCTGTGCTCTTTTAACCGACTTTATTTAATTAGTTTATTCTAACCAAACCCGAGTGTTCCAACGAATAACGAGAGTTCTTCGGACCAGCCAGAGTATATTGTTAGTAGTAGTATTATATAGTGTGTGCCGTGTATTTGAAATGTTTTAATTTGTTCTCAGGCATTATTCGTGGATAACCCGTCCCGTCACCCGATAGTTATCTTAAAGGATGTCACGTTCGCTGACCTGCGGACGATGGTCGACTTCATGTATTACGGCGAAGTTAATGTCACCGAAGAACAGCTACCACAGGTGCGTTTCGCAATTAGTAAGAGAATAATAATGTGAGTTCATTCTTAGTGTAGAAAGTAGTATTTCGTCGTTGTCAAACCAAAATCTGCTATGTGCACTTTTTGAGATTTTTACTTTTTGACCTTTTCGTATAGTTCACAGTCCTATCTACCGTATAAAAACTGTTATGTGTCTATAGCTTTAATAATTATCTGTAGCTTTCATTTGATATAGTTCTTAAAAATTCACTTTCATATAAAATTTTATACGAAAATGTTTTTACTGGTTAATTCAAAATAAAGTTTTTGCACATAGCAGATTTTAGTTTGACAGCGACGATATGAAATATTGTACTATCTAGGTGCATTTTAAAAACATTCTGCGGTGATGTCTTTCATAGAATTCAAATTGACAGATGGCTGAATCTCGCTTACGATATTTTCAAGATAGGCTTGCACATATACAAATTCCGAACAATAACATTCGGACCATTAGAGCAATATCACCCGCTCGGTGGAAGAGCTTGTCTTTGTGATTAAAACTCAAAATTTCATAGTGTTCATAGGAATTCTTTATAAAAATGAACTCACGGGTGGACGACTGGTTTTAAATGGCTACCAAAAGCATTACATCAGTAACGCTGCTATCCACGTTTAGACGTGTAGTTATTAATTTTAAAGCCGGATTGCAGGACTGACTTTTTTTTATTGTTTCACACGTAACATAATACACTATTTTGAACTACTAAAGATTTCGCTAGCCTTTTATTATAAATTGAATTGGAATTGATTGGACGTACTGTTTTACTAATGGAACCCCCCGACTAGGAAAGCCGCGATAAATGTAGACTAATGCTTGAATCTCTAACAAGTGTAATTACTTTTAAATTTCATTTAACAGTACAATCTTTATGAACCACATTATTTTTTTCCGTCGTATTTATGTTCAATGTTTGTCTCGATCACACTGTGCTTGTTACACAAAAATGTGGCTTTTCGCCGACAAACCCGTTGATTTTGAACACTGTATGTTTGTATACGGTTTTAATTTTAGCTATTTGAAGAATCCAAGACTGTTGAATGACGCTTGGTGTCAAATTCGTTGCTAGGCCGTGCAAAAACGCTTGTGTGTGCCATCTATGACGACTTCAAGAGCTAAAACCTGATTAATTAAATGTTTTTTTTGGTTAAATAATTGAATCCGTACAGACGATATGCTCCGTGTTTCCTTGTGGTTCAGAGTTCAAAATTTTGTAATCTGCATTTTCATTCACTCAACTTACATAATTCTAAGATGAATACAATAATATTATTTAGCTTAAGTATTTTGAAACGATAAAATCGACTTGACGATTTGAATGTTTACGCTTTACCCTCTGACACTTGCACCAGCAGATATCAAATTATGTGATTTAGGTTAATTTGTTTCCGTTGTAAATACATACATCAATAAGATTGCATTGTAGCGTGTTTATGAATTTGAAATCGTATATAAATATATAAATTTATTTTAATTGGCCAATATTACATTGATAATTCCATAGCCTATTTAGTGTTAAGTGAGAGCACGTAGACAACACAAGTTGAATGACACGTTAAGTATTTTCATATTTTAATTGGGGTTAAACCAAAACACAACTAAATGGTCTAGAAGTAGAAAAAAAATATGACTTACCTTTGTTAAAAGACTTAACTGTTAGAAGATCGATATCAAATTCAATGATTATCGTTTTTCGCGAACTCGTAACATAGTTTTCACATTGAAAAGTACATTGTGAATTTTCTTCAACTAAAATTCGGGTTTAATTTTTCCATAGTAAAATTATTTATCGAGCAATGCGTTCGTGCTGGTATGTGGTAGTCGGAAAACAATTTGGCACGTTCCCGGGGATTAAAGTACCGGTCTAGTTATAGATCAACCGAAAAGCGAAAACAACCTTTCATTGCAATCATTATTTTAACACTCGCGGCCCGAAGCAACACGTGCGCTTCGAAGTCAATGTGTAAATAATAATTTCATAATTATATATAAATATATAAAAACACTCGGGATAAAGTGTAATCGCAGCTTTGGAAGACCAAAACGAATCATTATGTCTGCTTGTGTAAGTAAAAAAAAACTTGCAATCTATGCACAGTCGAGCTGGTAGGACTTATCTGTAACTTTTTGCGACTATGTTACTGTTTTTCGATTAGAGATACTTAATTGTCAGTAAATAGAGTTACGTCAACCGATTTCGGAGTTTATCATCTCCCAACTTCCCCACTAAGCGATCTTTCTCAGAGACTGTGCAAGATACTTAATTGCGGAGAGGTTAGATGTCACGTATATCTTAAATAGACCGTGCAATTAGATAATCGTGCGAAGTGTTTCTAAACATCAGTTTGCCATTTAAACTAATTAATCATCGAATATTAATTTTGCTCTTGTTTTTATTACAAACTTGATGGATCAACTACTGTTGTAGTTTGATACGACCGACTGCGCTTGAGTTACGTAAAAATTGCTTGTGAATTACAGGCCTGAAATTGGTAATCGACTCAGGAATTTTGGCTCCTTAAGTCAGGGTACACAATGTACAATGACTTAGTAGAATGCTTACTCACTCCGATCGTTGTACTGTTAAAAGTGAGGCCATAGAACTCATGTCTCAAGGTGGATGGCGGCATTTACGTTGTAGATGTCTATGGGCTCCGGCAACTACTTAACACCAGGTTGGCCGTGAGCTCGTCCACCTATCTAAGCAATAAAATTAATTAATAAAAACCCGGACTCTGGAGTTCAGAAGTCAGGGTAATTAGGATAACAAGAAGAGAATACTACTGCTATAGAGCGGCGCTGGTATAAATTCGCTCCGATCAATACTCAGCCATATCATTTACTAATTGTATATTATGTATTTTAAAAAATATATACTTAAGATATGTATGAACATTTTTCATAGGTGCTGGACACTGCTAAGCTGCTGAAGATTAAAGGTTTGACTGAAATGCCGGACTCTACGTCGTTGACCCGATCTCAAGGAACATCCGCTGACTTCCAATCGCCCGGAGAGTCCGTGGACTCGCAGCGGCACTCGGCTTCGCCCGCGTCGTCGCCCTCCAACAAACGGAAACGTTTTGTGTTAGTTAACTCTACAGTAATATCTCTGTGTGATTCGTTGTAATTACTTTATTTCACAAACAGATGTTTTACATATTTTTTACGTATACATAAGAAAAAAAGATTGTGTGGTTTTATGAAACCACAGTAAAAGTGAAACTTTTTTTCACATTATAGACATTTAAATCTGACGAGCAACATTTACATTAAACACTGACAAAAACAAACAATAGCGTGGAGCACTGGCACAAATGAGTAATAGTCTATACACTACACGGTCAGCTGCTGCGAACTATAGGCGCCGCCATATTGGCCTTGGCTGATCTAACGAGCGCCGTCACGCGACATGCAACACACAGACGAAAAAGTTTGAGACGATGTAATAATAAAAAAAAGATGATGGTATAGAATATAACATTGCATAAACAGTATTTAATCTTAATAATGTGAAAAGTCTATAAATGCTGAGATGCATTTCATAGCTATACAAAACCTAACATTTGGAAGAGGAGATATTAGTTTATGGTCAGCATGCAAGTAGCACCATGTGCTTTGGTACCTAGTGTGATGACATTAGGCATATGAAGATATAATTTCAGGCGCAGGAAAAGTTCGACGGGTTCCACATCACTGAACATGGTGATGGGCGAGGAACACCGGTCCGAAGAAGCACATAATATCGACATGATGAGGGAGAGCATCACTCTGAGCAGCGTGCCCCAGCAACGCAGGCGGGACTACCATGACGACAGAACCGTCGAAAATTCACAACAGGTAATCAATCATCTTGTTAAGATTAAACGACTCATAACTCTGAATTAAATATTATTTATCAGTGAAAATAGTTATGTGAAAATAGGTATTACATATCAGAATAATATCAGAATTATAAAGTCGAATACACTTGTATAAGCCGCGCCAATAAAGAAACGAATCTAAAATGGCGGCGGCGATCATGCGCTCTCACTCTAAACTATTGCTGTCTTCAGTCGAACACGGCGCGTACTGCATGCAAAAAAAAATCGGTTCTGACTTTGTTGTTGAATTCGAATTTTTTCACTTTCACTGGTAGCAAAATCATCTACGCAAGTTTCATCCCAGATGAGACACTTCCCCCTCTGCCATGGCATAAATTAAAGTAAAGTACATTCTCATTTTTTTTTAATTATTTTTTACAATAAACAACTTTTTCTTTCTATCTTTCTTTTTATTTGTTGACCCACCATCTGTCAGTGCAGGTACATAGACGCCATTTTCGATTCGTTTCTTTATTGGCGCGGCTTATATATACATTTTAATATTAATTCGTCTGGATCCCAATCATTATCCAGACAAAATCAAATGCCACCATACAATTTCAATGTAATTAATTGACTCGTTTCCATGCGTACAGACAACAGACCAGCAGAACATGAATATAGATCAAGTCGGGATGGACGCGAACACGGGAGGCATCCAGCAAGGTGAGTCGATATTGTTCATTACTGTTCCGTACGCATGCACATAAAAATTAAACATCTTTACGGTCTATTCTCGAAGGAAAAAAAGAACATTAAATTGGAAAGTGGAAAGTTCGCGAATGAAACCGTGAATTTGTTTTCAATAAATATACGCTTTACGATTCGAAACGATAATGCTTTAGCAACCATACAAATTTAATAATCGGATTTCTTATTATCACGCCTAATTATTACTATTAAATATATATTATTATAACATGTCAAAACAAATACTATAACATTTATTGTACCAATCCGCCGTTAGTGGTATGTATAAGCAATCGCATCATGATGACTTCTTTGTTTTTTCGAAATATATTCCAACTTTACCATTCTATATTTATGTTAAATTGTACATGTAACTTCGTTATAACATCAGATTAATGTTATAAAATCAGATCAATGTTATAAAATCAGACCAATGAAGTATTTATACCTCCTACTAAATGCGATTTTAACTTTTTTTCTAAACATTCGTCCAATGTGGTTAAGTATTAATATGTTTAAAAACTAGCGATTTTATTAAAAACACGTATGAGATAATGCAATCAATACACACGAGATATACTCAGGAAACAAACTCGAACATTGACCGGTAACAGAACCCACAATGCGTGGTAAAGAAAATCTTAAATATAGTGCGTTAATAGGTAAATAAAACAATAGCTTACAAATTCTTGGCACATTTCATTGTTACTTATTTCCAGCAAATATGTATATAATCGAGGCAACAGACGAGAAATACTTTTGTTTTGCTCCTATCGTATATATACATTCATAGCTATGATATTTTTAACTTCATACATTTTTCTTTTATTTACTGAGTATGGCAAGAAAATAAATACAATTATTTTGATTGAAATTTCAAATCTCGATTGATATGTTTAGTGTTGCTCTGTAATTATAAAAAAAACAATGTTTATTCGAAACATTAGCGACATATTGCTTTAATGATAATACATATTTTAGAGTATGAAAACATTATTGTAAATTTATTAAAAAAACTTAGTACCACTTCATAGAGAAACGAATGTTTTTTTTTATTTCAATTTATTTTCGTGCAGTTATGTTTTTGTTTTTTTGCTTTTAATAGTAAGAGCCATACATTTGTGTCGGTTCATGTCATTGTATCCTAAAAATCTCCCTGTTTTCTGACTTAATTTTCATCGTCTTGTATCATGATTTTAAAATTTTCAAAAATAAAAACAATCAATATTAAATTGTATCCCGGTTGTGAATATAAATATTAAATTAAATTTTTATGGGGCTCGTTTTTATAAGTATTGTCAGAGAACGTCGTTGCGTATTTCGGTGAGTTTTGTTTTCCAGGGAAGGGAGATCAATGACTGAGTCGTAATGATAAGTACCGCTTGCACTATAGAAAGTTTAGTAACACAAAAACCATTTATCTCTCTTCCCAGGAGCACAATGGAGTATGATGGAGCATACGTACCCGAGGTATACGAACGCTTGCATCGGGAGCGCGGGCCTGCAGCCGGAGGCGGGCATGTACATGAACAACGTGATGGAGCACCACATGGAGGGCGAGATGAACGAGTACGCGCAGGGGCTGGGCGTGGGCCCGTCGCCCGGCCCCAGCTGCGCGCCCGAACCTGCCCTGCCGCCCGAGCCCGCACCCCCAGCACCGCCCAAGCGACGACGTACCACCAACCCGCAGTCCGAGGAGAACTTCCAGCGCGCACTCGAAGCCGTGCGCTTCGGAGGGATCGGCTTCTGTAAGGCCGCCCGCATGTTCGGCGTCAACAACCGGACGCTCTGGCTCGAATATAAAAAGAAGGGCTACCCGAACAACCGACCGAGTATCAAGAGCCGCATCAAACGCGAGCACACGACCCCTCCGCCCGAGCACAAGGAGGAGCCGCCGCAGCCGGAGCGTCAGATGGCGCTGCTGTGCCCCCCGCATCCCGTCTCGGTCGGCTTCATCGACTCTCGGCCGCTCGACTTCCCGCTGCAGGCCGTCCCGCACAACTCGCCCCTCAACATTCTCGGCGTCAACTTTAATTCGATGCAATAGAACGCGGCCTGCGGTCAGCCCGGCACCGAGGCGTACTCGTTGTGACACGAGTGGGCGGTGGGGGAGTACGCCCCGCCCCCGCACGGACTGCCGCCGCCGATATACGATTTCTATATGCACATGCCCATGTAAATATGACAAGTCCTAAACTAGCGCATAAGGAAATAACAAGGTAATGTTACACGAGAATTCAATTACGAGTAGGACTGTAGCTCTGTGTTTATCGAATGCATCACAAAATTTCGAATCTACGTCGATAAGATTAAAAATATTTTTCATATTATAAGAATGTGTATGCTGCATTAAAGTAATAATTATTATTAATGTGATTATAACTTGAAATGAATAATTAGTAATAATACGTATCATAAATGTGTTTCTTTAGATGTAAAATCGATATCAACAATGGCAATAATGGTTTTTCTCTTTTTTGCTACGACAAATATAATTATTGTATTATATTGTTATTTAAGTTGCGCTTATAGATCTCAATAGAAGTTCCGATTTCAATTAAAAACACGAAGCAAAATAATAATATCCAAACTAATAAATGACAATTACCTTTGATAATTTTTTTTTGGTTTTTTTCATTAATTATATAAGGGTCAGCCATTCGGTGAACTAACATAATAATATGTAATGACAAATAATTTAAATGCACAGGTATACTGATGAAAAATAAAATCGTGAGCTATTAAAATTCTAATTTTAAGTTCTTAATTTAAAAAAAAATGCATAATAATTTAAAACATCACAATTTTGGATTGCATTATTTATCATATACATTTTTTTTTACAAAATACTGTCCAATATTTTACTTTTTTCTATGTTTTACTTAATTCCTATTTTGATTGTATAAAAAGAAATCACTTTCATGAAATACGAGCCATAACAAAGTTTAGATTTGTATTTATTTTCATTAATATTTTTGACTCTAAAGATCGATGGCGGCTTATACTTATGCTTTCATTAGCGTCCAAAAGGGGGAGCTATTTAAAAAAAAAAACTTTAAAATTAATGTTCGATTGTTTTGTTAGTGCAACGTCGTCAAGGGAGCATCAAATTTGACGTTTTATTCTCCTTGTCAATGTCAAAAATGTTATGGTTGTGTAGGTTTGTGCTATTGTAGTATATATTTACTATAGAGTATGGAAGGTAGAGGTATGGAACAGTAAGCATCTGTTAATTCATATATCTATCATAAAGCGTCCGGATGGCGCCACTGTATCACAACAGTCTGAATTTTGAGGTTGTAATAAATCCATTTATAATTTTAATATAAGTTATTCGGCAAAATGAATTATAAGAGTATTGAAGTTTTTCATCAATCACTCCAATTGTTACCGTCCTGTGTATTATTTCTTTAAGTTTCTCTAAGTTTTTCACATTCAGTTTCATATAAATTCTTCTCTTTTTTCCGGATATTGTTTTAACCCAAAAATGGCGCAATATATAGCATAGAAAATCCGAAGCGAAAAATGAAGAACGGTACTTAAATAAATGATGAATGCGAATTCGTATGCAGCTGGGTCCCTACCTCTATGCGCCAGTTTTGTGACTAAATCTATGTCACAAACTATTTTCTGAGTCAATCGGTCAGTGAATGCAAATACGATTCTTTTGACGAATCTTATGATATTAGATTGTGAAATAATTTCTAATTCGTTTCGCGTACTGAAACTACATGCAGTAAAAAATGAGCCCGGTTCGTGTTAAAAAAATTAAAATTTGTTGTTTTTTATATACATATTACAGCAATTCACGATCGTTTATGGCTGATTATAATCCACTTGCTCGCACGACCACTTATTACCGCGCAGTGAACACGTAAATAAAAACGAATCCAAATGCTTATGCTGGTTACTTTAGCTACCTCTTTGTGGAATGCGATTAGGTAGTATGATTAAAAAAAAAACAGTTACTGTTGCAATCTGTACCGTCGTCACCAAAAATTTAAAGTATTATATTATAAAACATAAATTGAACGATTTAAACGTTAATTTAAGTATTTTTCGAACAAAATTTATGTTTAATTTTATATTAAGATTTTGTTTTAATTTGTCGTCGTGTGATCACTGCTTTTAAGACAACCGTTAACAGTGGGTTTTGTATTTAAAACCTACTGTAATATTCATTGCGAGCTTTCTAATTATTGAAAATGTTTATAGTATATACTGCAATATATTTAATTAAATTATCTCCAACATGACTTGAAATAGACACATTTCAAAATGATTAGAGAGAAGAAACACAACAGAGGCAAAGAATTGATTCAATCTGTGATGATAGTCATAACAGAACACAAGATAATTGACAGATGCCTGAATCTCGCTTACGACATTTTCAAGATAAATCTGCATATGTACAAGTTCCGAACAACATTCGGACCGTCGGTCTACCGAGCAATATTACCCGCTCGGTGGAAGATCTTCTCTCCGCCGTTATACATACAAATCGTATTTATTATACGGCTTATCGTTTGAGAAATGGAAATTGTTATTGTTCGGTTTTGTTTTTCTAATGTTTTCACGTACAATACAGACTTGTTTTTAGCAGATGACACAATGATAATGAATTGGATTGTTTTCTCAACGACGTAGACTGAGTGAAAGAAAATGATAAAAGTGATGGACAACAGCCACATTAAAATGGGTCCAATCGTCATAAAGGACTACCCATTTGAAAGTTGTTCAAGAGTCCGTATAATTGGAACAGCGAATATATCTAAATGGGCGTGTTATGATCCTGTTTAGGTAACTGGTATCTGAATCACGACCCAGGCGGTCATTCGGAAGTGAATGAGGAATGAGGAGGGGGAGGATGAAATTTGGGGGGTCTCAGATCCAACAGGATAGATACGGAGTAGATACGGCTGCTATCTGTAAAGGAATGTCGAAACATTTATAATATTTATTTATTAATCGTCTGGTGAAATACTAAAAATTTTTAATTATGCCAAATCGTATTCAAAACATCGTATGTACAAAGTCACGTAATAAAGGCGACGTTCACCTATAAAGGCGTCTCAATCACGACTCATTATTTGACAAGATGTTTTGGTCCTGTTGGAATTACTACGAGTTCTGTAATAAAACAATAGAAAATGTTATGTGGAACAATGGATATGAGAGAAAATTTAGCGTTTGCTCATTAAAGATGAAGATGGTTTATTGAAGAACCAAATGGGGAAATGGATATTGAAAAAATATAATGAAGCCCTATGATATTCCTGAGAGCTTCTGTACAAGAGCTTATGACGTAAATTGTGACGTCATATGCTGCGATAGCGCGCTCTTCGTCTTAAAATATTTACAGCATACGTAATTTCTGATATAATTTTAAAACGCCTATGTGAAAGCCGTATTGCATCTTTTTGAAAATAAACATAAAGATACCAAAATATTGTCAAATCCAAAAGCCATTGAGCAGCAGTAATCACCCGTCGATAAATTATATGAGGTTTTCTTGTACATAAACGACTAAATCTTTACAAGCAGTATTGACTGATTTAATGTGCATTTATTGTGTATGAAATGCATAACGATAACAATACACTGTTTATTTACTTTAAGTGTAATTGATCGCACACATAGTTTGTTCACGAAAAATTTGATTAAACGAATTTCTTATTCAACTACAATCATCGACAAGCGTTCGTCAATATTAATAATAATAATAATCAGTAATAATATTATTTCTTTCACGTTACCTTAATCCTATTTTACGCTTGTTCATAGTAAGGAAGCATCACGTTTATTTGATAGATATATATTTTTAAAGAATAATAATAACTATGTAATAACATTAAGTATTTAGTAGTTTTAGTTAGTTCGGGTGGTACAGCGTCGCCACTGTATTTAATAAGTTCAATATATCACTAAACATAGATCTCGTATGTGTATAAAAATATAGTTTGTAGCGTTGAACAACTTTTTTTTTTGTATGTAAATTTAATCATGCATTTACCGTATTAGTCTCGTAAGATGCGTCCGTTTTAGTCCCACGGTGTTTCGAATTATGACGAAATCGAATCTTCCGTCCTCTGACACTTATCAGTTTTGCACCATAAACCTAATAGCAATATATTTGGTTTCACTCGTCACTTAGTTATTTAAGTGAGCGTTATAGTCGAACCATATACCATCTGTTTTGTCGTTCTTAACTACTGTGATGATCGATAATGATGATGAAATTGTGAACGCCGTGGGATCAAATTGGTGTGCGCTCAGGTTTGTAAAGATGTTACGGATCAGTGGCAGTAGAGGGATCGGCAAATCGTGAAAAAAAAAAACGCGGGTAGTTTAAAACACGTGACGGATTCAGCGGGCGAAATCGAATGCTAGGTTCTAAATTAATTAAAGTCCCCCATAAAAATATTAAGTTATGCAAGTATAAATGATTGGCAATAGTCAAAAATGTACAAATCATTTGATAAAGTTTTTTCTAAGCCACAAGTGAAGAGCACACAGATATTTCTAATGAGCCAATATCTAAAATTACTACACTTAATCAGTCAAGAGGCGCTGAATGCCCTTTCGTATTAGCAAGTTTTGCTGTTCCAAACTGACTCTCAGAAAATCTTTGACACTTATTTTGCTCAATTATTATTGACTCAAATCTTGTTTGGCAACTCATTGTAAACTCATTTGGTAAGTCATTATACTCGTTAAAATAATAATAATAATGCTCAATAATAGAAATTGAATTCGAAATACATCATTAGACCTCTGTGTTTTTTTTTAAATGTTGACCATAATTTACCAAAATATAACAGCTCCAAATTTCTCGAAAATTCCCGAATTTAGTTATTTTTTAAGATCGTTGCCGATCTCTGGGTTAAGAGTTTAGTATGATAGTCCGAACGCGAGCCACTCTTAGTCTAAATATAAAACGTACAGACAGATGTCTCATTTAATCGCAATAATTTATGTTTACAGATTACACAATAGTCATGTTTTATCACTTGTCCGTTCATTATAAATATCAAGTATTGAGTTTTTTTTCCCAAAGTAAGGGTTCCGTAACTAAGTAGTTTTGTAGATGAATGTATACGCCACTAGATTTTAATTACCAAAACTAAATATATCACCTAAAAGACAAACGGTCTCACAAAACCACTTGCCTCGGTTTGAGGACTTTGACGCGGGATATTTAATGAAGATCGCAAGCGTGACGCACGAAAAATGTACCGATAAAGTTTGGCCACGAATTGTTGACACAAAAAAAAAATGGCTTTATATTAATAATATTCATTGATGTATTAATATTTGTATTGGTTTTCTCGTCTACATCAATTCAGCAACGGCAGTGAGACATTTGCATTTTTGGTAATTAAAATTAGTCTAGATGTGGAAATAGAAGACATTGTAATCGTATCTCTAGTAAGTTCGTTATTAAGTCATCCAGCTCGCGCCGGTTACACTAAATTTGTGTATCGCGGGCACTATCTCGGACATAATTTTGAAAGTATTATTTTTGTCTTAATATAAAATTAGGGAGTATTATATTTTTCTATTCAACAACGGTTTATGAGTTTGGGTACGATCTCT